CAAGTCTGCGAGCATTAGGCTGTGCTTCTCCCGAGCCACGGTTAGGTCGATCATGCAACCAGCTTATCCCCTAAATCAGAGCGTGCTAACACAAATCGTACCGTCATGTCCGAAGGCAGATTTTGACACATTTAGTCGTCAGAATCTGTGGCAGTGCTTGACGAAGAATGGTGGTCCCTCTGACCTCTCGTCGTTTACAGAAGTTCTGCAGGCTTGCTATCGTGTTTGTGGCTGTCAGTATTGGAATTTTCCTCCTGGGTACTCCATCTCCATTGGTGCAAGGTAAGGGTACTGTCCATCACCCTTTTTATGTATCTTCATATTGAACGGGTGGCTTTTATCCTATTTATCCGTTCTGGCGATCGAAATAGCAGACATCCGAAGAACAAAAATACATTCTGAGGGAGCGGTTAAAGGCAAAAACACTTCCCGAACTGAGACGGCCAGAGTAGAGTTCTCCAAACTCCGACGCTCGTTGCATCGACGAGGTATCGGCTTGTCTGCTGAAGTTAGATCTGTCTTAGATTATAAATCAGAAGCATGGCTCTCGAATGCACTAGGTCCTTGAAGTCTCTCCGTGTTTGATCACTGTTCCCCTCAAGTGAATCCGTAAGTTTACTGGGGGCATTAAATCAGCGATGCTGTAGATGGCTTCCAGGAAAGACCACTTTCCAGCGATGGATCAGCTAGTCAGCGTCTTGAAGTTATTCTGACTTGGCCATATATGCTGTGTATCGCTTTCTGTGCTCTCTGGCTCACCGATTGCTGTCCTCTCAACTGTTTCTCGCACAAAGACAAATCTTGATCGGAAGTTTATTATTTGCCAACAAAACTAGTATGACTGTAGTACGCAGCACAAAAGCTTACTGATGAGCTCGTTTACAACCTGCCATATCGGATAAACGCAAATAAACTGGTTACTGCGGACCTAATCGTGTGTTCCTCATTTCCCTATTGAGTTCATCCCCTATTAAAGGAACCAAACCATATGGACTTACTGGTTCTGCAGTTTGTACCCAAAACCCCATTGAACAATCGTTTGAATCAAAGAGAATTCACAATTTGGGTGAAACAGTTTACTCTAGAATACCCAGCTGTATCAGCCCGTTTGCATCTATCACAGCATAGTACATTCAATGGAGGATAGGGGGTTGGCGAATACCAACCTTCACTGTCCAAAACCGCTTGTCATTACACCTGACTGGCCAAGAAAACCCACGTGATCATTCCTGTGGATCAGGTGCGGCGGTACTTAAAATGAAACTACTGTTCTTACTGTGTTACTCAATTTCACTGATTCACGTTAGGCAAAGCACATCATACATCATATATAGGAGTAATTACGTCATCCTTCTAAGCAACAAGGTAGATCGGAGACCACTCCAGCTACCTTTCCTCTGAAAGCGGTATTACCTTGATTGTCTTACAACCTATGGTGTCTCAAACATCCGAGTTTGTTGCATCTAGCTGCTTCTTAATTACCCAAAGATGCTGTAGTTTATATCCAATCAAGATCTGGTTCCGTATTTAAGTGGCGTTGCCGATTTTTACAGTTCCTTCCCCGCAATTAGTTATTTTTACCAACTGGGTATATTCTGCTTACTATCTATTCGAATTCTTGTTAACAGACGCGAGAGAACCAGACCAACTCAAAACATTGCAGTCAAATGCTAATGATCATCACTGATAGTGTCCCGGATTCGTACAAAGAACTGCTGGAAAAACTGGACCCTGATGTGAGTTTGTTCTAATCTCGGTAGGATTCTAGGTGTTTGTGGTCCAATCAAATAAGCAGGTCCCTTTCAAGTTCCTTTTTAAGTCCTTTTATGGTTATTTCCTCACTGCTAATGCACTTCAACCCACACGGTTAAAATAGATTCCAAACAGATAATTTTATTAGTTTTTCAATTGTCGCTTAACCATCAAACAGTTTCATAAATACAGTGGTGTATATTGCTGATATTTATACGACTTCACCGCTGTGATAAATAAGTGACCTCGATTCGGGCTCTTAGTGGGAAGTTCAATTGCACTAGATATAAGTCAAAATCGAAACGGGAACCGGAAGTGAATATATCGATTTCTCCTCGTTCAGATCATATCAGTCGTGTGTAAACTAGCCTATTTAGTAGCTGACGAGATGATCTTGTGTTGCAGTTGTTATGATGAAAAAACACTGGATTTTAAAGTGAAGCGAATCAAAGTGGAAAATCTGTCCATCAAACTTTTCAGTTGATGTGTAGCACGAGCGTGGCGCGTCCAAGATGCTTGGTCTTTCATACAGCCCGGCCGGAAAGCTCACAGGATCGCAGTCAAAATGCCAAAACTATATGATGTTCGCCAATCTATGCACTGGCATAACTGCACAGATTTACTCAAATGACATCTGGTACAAGCGCGCACTCCTTAACACGATTCTGTTCAAATAAGCATGACGTTTGAAAACATCCGAATTCCGGTGATATTATTGAGGGTTAGAAAAATATCTCTTTCTCAAGTTTATCTACTCAGAGGGCACGAAAAGCATTCTGAACTACTTTGCTTTAGCACGAACAAAACAACTTTTCGATCATGTTTGTCGGATATCAAGCTTAGTTGCAAACATTAAGTACGGAACTTACACCGGTAGTTTTCTATAGCTATGTAAATAGACTATTCTCGCTTTGTTCTAATGTATTCGCATATTATTTTTTTTAAGTAGAACTTATTCTAGACGTGTTCGGTCACTCACGTACAGTTTTTAAAGGCAAAACGTACCTCAATAGGTTAGAGTATTGTTTTGTACACAGTATGATGCTTCCATGAATGATACGTACCACACGTAATCGTAGGCTGTTTTCTTGTACTTCACGTAATGCTTGCGTGATCGGTTTCATGAGATGGAGCTTGAAATTCAAGGTCGTAGAATAAATTAACAAAATGCGAATCCAGGTTTTGGAGAACGCATGTTTCAAGAAATCCAAAATGAAGTCTACGGTAAAGCGCTTTTAAACGTAATGATTCACGTTATAGCTGGTCGTTTGAGGTTGCGTAAATGGCTCAAGGACTTTTAACATCAAAGGCCACACAAAGAGTGAAAAGTAATGAATGTGATGACGATACCGCCCTAATTTCATTGGAAATTTAATTTTTGTTTTTAATCGAAGTTCATCTTGTTTGTTTGAGCGAATCAGTCGAGCAGGTCTGGTGTTTTTGTAATGCACTACTCATAAGGTTGATGAAAACTTCTTGACAGCCCGCGACGGGTTTCGCCCTTCTTTGGGCTCATCAGGTAGGCGCAGTCTTAGAGGTTACATCAGCCTTATTTTCTACTTGAAACCTAAATGCACGAAATGAGCGAATATACACTCATTTACAAACTAGTTTTGTTTTCCCAGACTCTCACCTGGAACCCAGCTGAATCTCTCGGTTATGGTGTCTCCTGGCAACTGAATGTGCAGGGATGATGTTGCTTGTTTATAAAAAAAAACGCCTGTCAGTCGGTGTAAAAATCGGTACATCGTTGGGCGGACTAGACCAGCAGCTCTATACCAGAAATACACAGAATCTCCTGCAGAAAACCAGAATTAGCTTGCTAGCCGGAAAAAAAACTTAATATTGGGCAGAGTTTTTAATTTTTCCATTTCGTGGGTGGAGCTTGTTGCTTCAGATTCCAGGCACTTGCAATTGCTACTGTGACCGCATCAGATGTTTTGATGTTTTCAGAAAAATGTCCGAATTTTCGTTTATCTTCTTGGACAACATTCGTACGCCGAGCCCTATGTGGAAGAGCTAGCCTGCTTAAACCGAGGTTAGTAAATCTGATATCAATGCACGGCTAATTTGTGCCCCAGATTGTGAGCATACCATTTTTTCCATATCAGTTTTCATCATTATCAATCTAGGTGGAATTACACCTTTTATGAGTAAACCACATAAGCAGAACCCATCAAGGTGCTAACTCAACAAGCTTGCAGTTAGAGACCATTACCCAGAGTTGGAGAAGAAAATTTTCCACTTTTAAAGCTGTCGATACACTTAATCCAAAAGTGCGTTTCAAGTTTGATGTCCTATCAAACAAATTCCGTCAACGTGACATACTACTAATATGCATTCGACGAAAGTATCCATTGTTTAACTACCAAATGCTTTATTTTAAGTATTTGACGATTCGAACGGGCAATAAGGCTGTGGACTACTTGTGAGCATCAACTTGTCCCAAAAATGCCTGTTCAGGAAGGCAGAAATGTTGCCGTCAACAGCGTCTGGCAACATCAAAGATAGTGTGCATTTATCGTCCAGAGAGATGGTCCTTATTTACGTCCGAAAGTACAGTACGGTCTGAAACCTAAGACATCTGTTGCAGTGGGCTGATGGGTTCCTGTAATGGTCATGTTATATTGACAAACGAAGGTTTAATATGACGCTTTTATCATTTTTCGTTGCAGCTAGTTGAAGATTTAGCAGTTTAATGGAGGCAAATTTGAATTGTCAAACCGGTAATAAAAATATGGGCCTGTCGGTTCTCCACGGGTATCTGCTTTTATTTAGTTGCGCCAAAATGTGTCATCTGGGTCATACGAACTCAGCATGATCATTCATCATTCTCGCTTTGTAAACTCGAAAGATGTAGATAGGAAACAGGACGCAACTACACTTTAGGTAAATGCGTTCGCCTTTGCGCAATATGATGTTCCTGAGCTAGCTGGATCCGGGATGAACAAGCCCTCTCTCAGTTTGCGCTCAGTTTCAACGGTAGGGACAGTAAGCAGTCATTTGTCTTTCAATACACTGTGAATCCTCTTATGATAGGGTAAAAAAGGTACAAATTACAAAGTGATTCTCACCTTCATGTTTGACCTAGAACGGCTTCCACTCATATACGCACGGACACTTGCCGGGTCAATATCGTGGTCGGAATAGAACTTGCATAATTGAATACCCACGAAATGGTTGATTTGTTGAACCAGAGAGGATATGGGGTACCGGAGATCTTTTTTCAAGCATATCCATCGACGTTTTGGGAAACATCTGGCTAGACTGAGTGTCGGTGAAAGAGCTTTGAGGGGACGGGAACCCAATTTGTTTCAAGACTGGGGTACCATTCGGTCATTTGCTTGCGAAGTGTTCCGTGATAGGACAGGTTGTATACAAATACACGCCTTTATTTTCTTACTCCTTGAATCACTGTTTATTGCCTGAACTTTCTAACCACAGGCTACGCAGTAACAATCGCAACCCTTGCGGATGTCAAGGAAAATGTTCTGGTAAGCAGTAACACCGTCCTACTACTTTTAAAGCATTGAGTAGCTACATTTTTCTATGGGAAGAAGATACATGTCGCTTACTTCAATATTTCTTTTACTGTCTTTTGTCGCGGACGTGAAACATTCAAGATTTTCTGGCAAGATGAGGAATGACTTTTGTAAAATGAACACCTAACAGTTTAAATTCAATCAAATGGCAAGTGCCATGGCAACCTTAAGTCAACATTTATTGTCCACACGAGGGCGGTTGATACCAGTGTTGGTTGGCTTCAACACATGTCAGCAACTTGGCATACCATTTTCGAAAACAAGACTTGGAACAAGCCGTCGTGTCAATGAAGTGACCTTTATCGAAGTGGTTAGGTCATATTGAATACTAAATAGTTCACCAATGTTTTCATTTTTCTCTCTTGGACAAGCTTTTAATGGTACATAATTCCTTTATCCTTAGATGTGTTGACCAACCGATATTCAATAGCTAAATCACATTAACTTAGGTCTTTCTTTCTTCGCAAACAGAAATATCTCAACGTCGTGGCCCGATCGAATGCCATTTTGAACCATGGATTCATCACTTGGTCAGGTGTAACGGTGCAACAATTCAACCTTAAGGTAAGAAACTTTATCACATATTCGGGAAAGTACTGGAAAACGGCGACCTTAACTAGGTTTGTTTTCCTGCCGGTTAAAATACTTATGGGACGCATTTTAGCTTAAAAGCCAGAAAAAATTAAATGTGGAATCATACAGTCAAGAAGTTTCATCTATCTAACATTATGTTCAAAGCATATTATGCTGATAGATTTTCCTTAAAATGTGGTAAAAAAGAACTGCACACCGTGTGAAAAGACGCGCAAAAAATCCACTGAATGATGTTTCAATCAGGTTTAATAGCTGTACTTTTTATTCTGTTTGTTGAAGTTTGGCGTCACGAGCATCAGGGAGCATCTTTTCAGTCACAAGTAGACACGACTGTTTGTTTGCTCTTTTCTGTGGTAAATGAGTCGAAATAGAATACTTGGTCACTGTTGTTTTCGCATATCTCCGACTTGTCAATGGCTCGATACGAAATCCAATTGCGTAAACTCTCTGAGTGAAATAATTGAAACTAGCAAAACGTCTGGGATCCACTGTTTACTTACCGCAGCAATTTTATTGATAACTGGTATTATTCCCCCTGTTCTTGTGCAGAGATTAACTCCAGATAATTTTACAATGCAATTTATCACAGTGAGTTTGAATTTTTGGGTAGTCATTGGACCATGTTTTGTCGCACGTCTGATCCATCACGTGCTGATTACGTTTTGCCGCACCATCCAGCAGTCTCACTGTTTCACAAATGTTGCGAATGACTTCTTCTGACACTCGGGTACTCCAACGCAGCAAAAATGTGAAATTTCGTGTGTGGCTTGTTTTGCCCTCATTAAGTATCATGGCTTTTGGGGAGAAAAAATGTGGCGTTATTCATATCGGTTGACGTGCTGATTACGTTTTGCCGCACCATCCAGCAGTCTCACTGTTTCACAAATGTTGCGAATGACTTCTTCTGACACTCGGGTACTCCAACGCAGCAAAAATGTGAAATTTCGTGTGTGGCTTGTTTTGCCCTCATTAAGTATCATGGCTTTTGGGGAGAAAAAACGTGGCGTTATTCATATCGGTTGCATGAAACATCATGTGTCCACATTGTTTGTTTGATCAACAAGTCTGTAACGCATCACTATGTGTGTTTGCAACCACGAGACGAAAGTTTTAATGAACATGTCGAATTTCAATGACGAATGTTGTTGAAAATGCACACTAATCTCTATTTGTACATCATGCATGTGGAATTTTTCATCCATTATCCATTACCATGAACCTAGGTCAAACAGGATTTTGGTGCAAAGTGTTTTGAAATAAGTAAATGCGGATTTTGTTACCGGTGGTGATAGTTTTTCTCTACGCCACCGTTTCGCCTCTTCAGATATTCAAAGTTGAGCTTCCCGTGTCTCTTATGGTAATCTTCATGATAAGGAAGCTGGATGTAGGCCACCGTGATCCTTGACGCGAAATGATACCGTTTACAGAGGACCGCTGTTCAGCTCCACTATACCTGCAGATCCCGAGCCCGCCGGACTCTGGCTTCCTTGGATTTCATTTTTCACAATCAATTTTGCATGAGATTTACACATTTACCATCGGTTTGCAAATCATCTCGGCATTTTTTAAATGCGCACAAGTTTCATCACTCTTACTGAGTGACTCTGTACATACTGGTGCTTTTGCTTGATATACCGGGACAACCGGATCTGATGGAATCACACTGCGAATATATTGTCATATCATCTGTTCTCTTGATGGCTGGTGTACGCTTTGTTACAAGTACGATTCACTGGACATTTATTGGTCTCACAAATTTAGGCTTTAGCAGTTTATCATTGTCCCCATTTTCACTTCCTCAACTATTTTTCATTACTTTTACACGGCATTGAGTACTTCTCACAACAGATAATTTATTTGCTAACTACCACAGTAACTCTCCGATTTCATTCATATTTGTTCAGCCGGCGTACAAGCTGAGGTCAATGCATCGTGAGCCCAGTGATTTGGCGAGTGAAGTAAGATTGGACGAGCCAAAGATAGTAAGTTTTGCACGCAGGACTGTGGCCTCAATATGACTTTTTCTTAAGCTCATCTAAACACATATATCCAAAGAGGTAGAGCTGACTGACCATTCCAGTTCTGTGAACTTGATGAGATCCTATTCTGACTCCACCAGAAGCTCATTCATGTGTCATTTCCCCTGAAGAGGTTTGAAAAGGCAACTTACAGCTGTAATTTTTCGGATCAGAGGAGAATGTGACGCGAAAATAATTAAAGCTCACCGTGCAGGACATGAAGGCAATCGAGTATTTGCATTGAAAAGCAGCTTTAGCAGGACGTACATGTTCCATTGGACGAGATCAGCAAATGTTGTGTGATCAACAAAAGAAGTAATGTGTCACATTTTAGGATACAACGAAGCAGTGCAACAACATCGGGTTTTTAGTAAATATCACACCAAAGCATGTATCAACAAAAACTGTTGGTATTTCCACATCTACGAAACTGACTTACTGTGGCCAGTAAGCAATTCATTATGGATGGATGTATCAGGTAATCTTGTTCAAATACCATTTTGAATTTCTCTACCAGATCAATGTGTCAAGGGAGGCAGAATGTTTACGAAGACAGGCAGTAATGTCAAAGAGGAAATCCGATCTTACCTGCAGACATGTACTACTAGTGAGCACTAGTAGTTAGGCAATCCAAAACGAAAAAGACAGATGTGATGGAAGTGAACCTTTTTCGCATGAAAACGGACTAGTTTCAAGACACGACGATTGTCGCTGACAACAAGTATTATCGTGCGGTGGAACAAGGCATTAGTGCATTGTTACGTAAAAAAGCTGGAGTGGTCAAAATCAGAATTCCATCTATTCTCTGACGGCAGTAAAAAAAGTTATCCTGACTTCGGTCTCTCAAAACATCAAATACCCTTACCTTGGAAACGATATAAAAAACTTTACATATCTGGAGTGCAAAGTCATGTTGGACAAAAATGATTAGATGAAGTCATACTCGCAAAAGACGGTATGAATCAGTATTGGTAATGTGGTGAAATATTGATAGCTCGGGTGAGTTTATTGGTTGTTGATCAGGTGGCTGTTGATCTGTTCGCCGAGGTTGGCAATTGGCTTGCAAACGTTTCGTCACTATCATCATTGCGCACTGATGATGTCTCCTCGTATGGTGACGAAACTTTTGCAAGCCAATTGCGACGCTCGGCGAACAGATCAACAGCCATCTGATCGACAACCAATGACTCAGTATTCCTCAAAAACTTGGAGGCGATGAACAACGAAAGCTATTAGCAAGCCAGTTGATAACTCTGCACTCAGTACGTCAGTATGTTTTTGACCAATTCTAGAAATACCCTCCAAAACTTCACTATTATGAATAGGCGGATAGATACAAAATATATAAGAATTGTAAATTCAACTGCCATTTAGCGTACAAGTTACTGAAAAATCTCAAATAAACTTCGCCAATGAATAGGGAAAACCTGATAGGCAGGAATCATCTTTGATTTTGCTGAAGACGACAAAACACAATGTGTTGTGACGAAACCATTCTCAGATATGATATCCCTTCGTCCTAGTCCTGTGTACATACATGTGACAGTACTGCTTTTTTTATGATGTTTGAAAAAGTTGCCGATAGCCGATCTTTATGCACAACACGACATTCTTAAGAAATTTTGCGAGGTATTAGATTGATATAATGTTAGTGCTTCGCCATTAGGTAAAGTCTGTATAGACAAACCCACACGGTCGCAAAAAGCTCTTCTGTATAAACAGTCATAGTGAACCTTGCTCCAGGATTTAGTATGTCAAAAATCGATGAATTATTTGAATCCCACTGCGTTTCGGATGGGTTCACGTGACGAAGTCTCTCCAGTGACCAGCTTACATTTATCATCAAATTGCACACTGGCACTACTCGTCTTCTAACCGGACACTGTCAAACATTCGATTACGTCCCTAGATTGTCCAGTTAAGCGTAACAGTCAGCAGTGCGTTCATTTTTTGGAAACCAGCTAATTCCGATTTTTATATGAAGTACCGCTAATGTATCACCACTAGCATTAAAGTACTACTCATGGATGATACGTTACTGGGGCAGTCATTGTGACCGTAGATAGTGTTTATATACAAGCATATCTGTTTTAGGATACCATGATTGCATTGAAGGAAGAGGAACCAGTGATGTATACTTCAGTTGCTGAAGCTGTCTATGACCGGACAAAAAAGGCGGTAAGTCAATCTTATCTGACTAATTTTTTATAGATAACATTTCCAAGTTATAAAGGCGGTTAAACTAAAAGGTTTTCGGGGAGTCCGTCCTGCAAGTAAGACAAGTCTGTGCTGAAAAGCCGAGAAGAAATTTGTCACGATTTTATCCCTACTGCTAACGGTCGACAGTGATCATCTGACAGAACTCCAGAGAGGGTCGAACCAGTGACCTCCCGGTTCGCAGTTCAAGCACTTCAATCTTTGACCACTGATGATGATTCCCAATAAAGGTTGAACAGCTATACAGTGCTTAAAGGACAAAACACTAATAAAACTCCCATATCTCCTCAGAGTGCCAACAGACCAACAGATCATAATGCGTATTTGTCACTGGTTCACATCAACCGATTTGTCCTTCTTCCAGTTTACTTAGAATGCAGCAACTCCCGAGTGCCTACAAACGGAATTCTCTTGTGACAGTCTCTTGATTTATCGGACTTTGCGGACTGCGCTGTTGCTGATCACAAATAGATCCAAAAATAATATCTATATTGTTGACATCATGTATGGCGAAAAACTGAAACATATCGTATGTTGAAATGAGATGTCCTTTATAAATAGTTCAGGTAAAATCTGGTAACATCTCCAGAAATGTTGAAAAAAATCATGCCAGAGTGAATTTAACTATTGTTTCTAGAAAGTTTTCGGCTAGAATTCGTGACATAGCAGGGTGGTTTTAATTTCTGTTTCCTAACGCTTCAAGCAAAAGTATCCTACATGATCGAGCTGATGCGACAGTAGACGATCCACCTTATCGCTCGCAAATTTGTTCCCAAAATTCCAGTGAATTTGAACAGTCGTTCCAGAATCAAAAAAAGAAAAAACAGTTTTTCACCACGTAGCTTGATGAATTAGTCCAAGATTGTCCCCTGTTACATAGTCTCAAACTTAAATAATGAAAATAGGGTCACGTTTCTTGAAGACCTGAAAATATACGTAGAAAAGTTGATTGAACTTGAAAACTTTCATTGGTTTTCAATGGATTTCTGTGTGATCTGTACCGCACTTGTCCCTAAGCATATGGTTGCATTAGCAACTGAGAGTGAAAAGGGATTTCGTGTATATGACAGCGAAAGCAATCAGGCCATCATATATGTGGCGCGTAAGAACGAAAAAGTATGTTCAAATATATTAGTGGAAGCCCACATGACCAAAATTTAGCTGATGCTGAAACAGAAGCCTTGGGTTTTTGTCAAATTCATTCTACATGGACCAAGCAAGCATTTCTAGTGTAACTCCTCAGGTAGCTTACATCCTGACAAGGTGGAAACTAGCTACTTGAGGAGCCCAAATGAACTTACGAGTTGTTTTGTTCGTCTCAACCCGGTTACTCCGATTATAAGTACAATGTACATAGTCCGGCGCAAGTAGGAACAAACTGGAGCAACCAAATGGTGCGAATCCCTCTTGAATTCTCTTTATTACTGCAGTAACCAGACCGAGCAGACAGACTGAATTTCATGTCGTGCAAGAAATTGCCCCCAAGAAGATCAATAAAATGACCCAATTGAGAGATCATGAAAATGATNCAGTGAACTTTCCCTACAGTGTAAAACATCGTTGTTGTATAGCGTAAGCCCAGTTGAAGTAAACACGTACAACATCCCCGTAGCGGTGACAATCAAAGCATAAAAGTTTGCTTGACCTTTTTCATTCATTGCTGGAGCGAGAGTACCAAAGTCCCCGCATACTGTCGAACTTTTTGAGATAATGAGGCTCAGTCTGCTTTGCCAGTGGCTGGTTCACAAAAGTTGCAGTATCCTATTGTCGTTTGTTAAATGTGATCTCCAACTGGGATGAATACACACTCTGATTATCTAGTTTAGTTAACTTTGGGTTTCTGTAAGCACTGTCTCCTGTGAGGTATTGGGGTAGACAATTATCAATGAAACATAGAAGAAAAAGAGTACAGGCCGCTACTTTAAATCGGTTGGACAAGTGTAACGGTTCCTGAGCCAGATGTATGGCAGCTTATTTGGATCATATTGAAATTCAGTGAGCGGTGTTTCACGGAGAAACGTCCGTTTTTAACTCATCACAAATATGTGTCGGACTAGGTTGTGGTGTTTTACGGATTTGAGATCAACATACTGAGAGGATGTTTGAAACACATTGTTTCAGTGCACATCATATGGGCAAAAATGCGAGCGTGAAGGCAATCAGAGCCCCAAGCCATACCACGCTAACAAACATACTCTGGTACTTGAAATTCTCGTTTTTTCTTCATACTATATGTATTCGGATTTTATAATATCCCCAGGTTTTTTAAAGTTTGACTTGCCCGTTCTTTAATTGTAGTGTCTGACACCAAAAACCTGATTCCATCATGTCGTTATCGATCCTCTTTCTCACAGATGCGCCTCAAACAAGGAAATCTACTCGGGGTCGCTGGAATCGATGTCCCACTTCAGTCTTTCAGAGATGCACTGAGAGGATGGCAAGTGAGTATAAAAATATAACCAACTCATTTTAGCTGTGTAGAGAGAACGAAAAATTCGTTCCAATCCGGCGTAAAAACAATCTGGTGTTCTGTTTATTCTCACAAGATGCAGACATCGAAAGATTCGCTGTGTTTTGTTTCATGCAGGAAGTTCTTGTGCCTACATTTTGTTGTGGGTTTGTCAACTGACCTTGTGGATATTCCGAGGATGAACGACGGAAAACGATGTATTTTACTGGCTACACTCTATTATCATTATCAAATGAAACAGTCAGGTTTACTAATACTACCTACGTAGTCTAGCTTGCAAGAGCCAGACTACTCAGTGATTGATTCAAAATATGCTCTGCACATTACCCCATCTCTAGTGAGGGTAGGTTTGTACGTATTTTCTGCGCTTTAATAGAAAAGGTGAATTGTACTAAAAATGCCAAACAAGATAAACCTGAGAAAAATGAATTCAGCTCTTTTGATAAGCGTGACAATTTTCTTGTGTACGTCACGGAACGTCACCCATTCCAGTCCAGCGAAGTGGGATGTGATAATGAAAACATAGTTACTTCTTGAGAAATTCATAAAACTGTCTATATTAAAGCACTCCGGGGTAAATAGTATTCACTATAAGGGTGATAGCTGTGACCGGGAAAGAGATACTCACCTTTTTTACGATCAGTGTTCACTGGAGAACGAAGCAGGCAATACTTCTGTTGGTGTCCACCTTGTATTACTATCAATCGATTTCTCCAACCAGAAATCTTATTTCCTCAAGCCATTACACATTTTGACCCACTTATCTTTCATGGTGAAGACGTTTTTCAAGATCGTTCTTAGCTTACTAATGAGTTTATAATATTCCATTCAGTAGCATCCTTTCTAATTTAGGACACAGTCTATACAAGATTCATCTCAGCAGTTATCGGCTGCTACCATCGGTATTATAGATTTGCCGGCTAATTAAAGAACTATGCTTTCACCAAAGGTTCTACTGTTTCATATTGCCATTTTCGCCAAAGCGTTATTACTCAGAAATGAAAGAGTTTTGTGCGGTCTTCACCATACACCTATTCAACCAATTGACGTCCGTATCCACAAGCAATGAAATTAAGCTCACATGCATTATTTTATCCGATCGCCGTCCGTTTCCATTGTCTGTTTTCATGTCTGCATAATGAGAAACGATTCTTTCCAGGGTGTATAAGATGGTCGTAAAATTGAAATCAATACTGTCTCTTCCGGTGTCTTCTGTGGTGTGTAGTAAAGAAATAAAAAGATAAACTGTGATATTAATTTCCGGCGATTAGGCTTCCACTTGCTTGATGGATTTTGAAAGCCTTCTGAATGGTGAGTTTTGACACGCAGGATTCATCACTGCCAAATTTCAGTCCACGACTGAACCTGAAAGATTAATTTTATAACAAACCGATGCTAACCTTTAAATGCGGCAGTATAATGACAGAGCAGCCAAAAGCATTAAACCATCTGCGTAAAAAACTGGAGGATCGCAGATTTGACGTGTATAATATGCATGTTTTAACTGTAAACGAAAGTTCAAACACTGCTTCGGATTCCACTTCCATGTACGTGAGTTTAACGCGGATGGTGACTACTCTTATTGCATTCCACTACCAAACAGCCAGAAGTCTTTCATCGTAAACCTATTAATAAATGCAAATTTCGTTGTGTATCTTTTGTGGTGATAAAATATTGGCTTTAAAGACTATGCAACTTATACTTTAAAAAATTGATATCTTCCAGTGTGCCATATGCTTGCTTGTTCCGCAACTGAACCAGCTTGAAACTTATACGGGACTTTTAACAGATAAAATGTGCCGAAGAATTTGCATGAAACCTCCGCATGCTTCTTGAGGCCGAATTATCGACGAAACAACTGAATGATCGATTGGTTGATCGATCGACTGCTGGGGAAGAACTGACTGTGGCATACACCACTTAAGATTAAGCAGCTGACCGAGAATTAATGCACTTGTATCAGGATATATGATTCTACTCGAAATAGGTGATAGGTGAACTGCAATATTCGGTATCCATTTCATACTGATGCTTTTTTATTTGAATGTATGTTCCACTGAAATTTTCTGACACTTCACCGCTTCCTTTGTATACTAACTCAAAGCAACCAGCTGGTCCACAACAGCCTGGTATTTATGCTTTACTTATAGCTCACAGCAGAAAATGCGCACACAAGATATTTTTGTATTTTTTAACGCGTATCAGGATATCACTTATCCATCCTATATGAAATCCCAACCCCAACTTACAGAACTGCCTTCACTAAACATTTGCCATTTAATATCGCAGTTTTTGCAGCATGAAGATTACTTTTGGATACTTGGATTATAGTCTGTATTTGCCGATCTAATCTCACTGGATTTTCAAAAATTGGCTAAAATAGGGGGAATGAATATCAGCATCCTGGCACCTTCTTCGAAAATAGAACCTCTGGATAGAACTCTCTTGAAGATGACAGTTAAGAAATCTTTTTGTGAATGTATGTTTTTTCCTAACGTAAGGAGAAAACATGCGCATTCAAGACATATTGCATAAGATAAACATAAATTTGTACTTGGAGTTATTTACGGGAACTCATAATACACACTAAACGAAAAACGGAAATTGGTGAAGAATCTAAGGGACTGAAAATATTGATCAGCAAATACTTCATCATACCAGTTGGAGTGTTACGTAACTGAAAGATTGATATTAATTTGCGCCATCAACATTCAATTCACGTGGATGTGACTAAAAACATTGTAGGCTTTCTTAAATATAGCGTATTTTTAGCCGTCAAACACCGACAGATTCTTGACGGAAAATTTGCCCACCGTTCTGGTTTGTTGACGGCTCTAGTCAGTTTACCTTGGTGTCCCACCTACAAGCCACGAACCGAAGTACAGCTGTTACAACTCCGTTCCCCGGAAAGAAGTAAAAAAAGGGAAGGGGGGCCGAATGCTCAATACGATGGTAAACAATACGTTTACGTTAAATGGCACTACTTGTCTGATACGAGAAGGAGTAAGCGAGCTACATGGAAAACAAGAGAGTTTAATGCAGGTCGCCACTGTCTGTCTGATTTTGTCGTAACTATCAGGGCTACTTACCATTCGTTTTTCTTATCTTGGGTTCTCTTTCCGAGGCTGACGGCGTGCGAATCTCTTGATAAACACTTCCATGCGTCGTTTCCAAGTCACGGACTTGGTAACCTTGGTCCGTGTTTATCCGAAACACAACTGAGGGAAGAGAACTGTGCGAGTCAGTCGGCCATCTGGCTTACGAGGCACACTGTCCAACCATCGTAACTCAGAGGTTGTGACCAGCTAATCCGTCTAGGAGACGTTTCCCGCTGGACTGATGATCCAGCGGACCCGTGCAACGCTTTAGCGGCACCGATGACCAAACACTAAGAGTCTTCGGAGAAATTATGCACCCAGCACCCAATTCTCTGACCTACAAGCTGGGACAGATTGGACAGTAGGAATATCCAAGTCGTCCTTGATAGTCAAGTTAATGTCATGCCAACAAGAGCTGTCATGGCCTTCTCGGTTAGGGAAGTAACTCCGTCTTTCGCCAGTCCGCCAGTACGCATTTAGCCAAACTTATCTACCTCGTTGATAGATTCATCTGGAGGCATGAGGATTTGGTTTAATCCCAAGTAATTCTGAAAATTCCGGGATTAAACAACTGCCTGATTATTTAGGTGTTCCAAAGAAGGGAATATCTCCAGTGAACTCAATGTCTGTCCTGGAATATTCCGGTTGAAGGAATGCTACAGGCGAGTAAAGAGTGAGCCCTGTTGTCCTAGTCGTTTGCTCCCGGTATAGTTTTTCTCCCATCCGTGTGAGAGTTGTTAACGCTTGTTGTGATGTGCAAGTGTCCTCGGGCAGAAGCTATCAAAGACTGTCGTAATGGCCACTTCCACCTTTTCCCAGTTGTCGTCTAAGTTGTTATTATAGCCATTGTACCCTTTAAGTTATAAATGTCCTTCTTCCAACCCAACTCGATATAGCTAAGCTACAGAGAAACATTCCACATGAAAAAATAAATAGCATTGCATCAAGCACCGTGATCTGGAGATAAAGCGAGTGGATACGCACGTTCACACAGTGCCTTGTCAGAGTCAAGTAGTGTAATCTAAACTAAGCGGTAAACTTGTATCAAGACTTCAACTGGTAGCTGGCTGTCATATGGTTTGTAGTTGGCATCGTTCAAGCCACACCTTGTGCTGCCTAAAAATAAATGAATTTCACCACTGAGGAAGTCCTTCCCCCTCAATTATGCAGCGCGGCTCCACCACAAATCAGCTTCCAAAATGGCCTACAGGACTTTTTGTTTAATCAATGTCAGATACGACATCTTTACTTCCAGTCGACTTATGCACCAGTGTCAAATACCTATGGAAGTTTTTTTACAAGCGTCCACCACAAATCAGCTTCCAAAATGGCCTCCAGGACTTTTTGTTTAATCAGTGTCAGACACGACATCTTTACTTCCAGTCGACCGATGCACCAGTTTCAAATACCTATGGAAGTTTTTTTTTTACAAGCATCAATCTGTCATAGAAAAAATAAATAGCATTGCATCAAGCACCGTGATCTGGAGATAAAGCGAGTGGATACGCACGTTTACACAGTGCCTTGTCAGAGTCAAGTAGTGTAATCTAAACTAAGCGGTAAACTTGTATCAAGACTTCAACTGGTAGCTGGCTGTCATATGGTTTGTAGTTGGCATCGTTCAAGCCACACCTTGTGCTGCCTAAAAATAAATGAATTTCACCACTGAGGAAGTCCTTCCCCCTCAATTATGCAGCGCGGCTCCACCACAAATCAGCTTCCAAAATGGCCTACAGGACTTTTTGTTTAATCAATGTCAGATACGACATCTTTACTTCCAGTCGACTTATGCACCAGTGTCAAATACCTATGGAAGTTTTTTTACAAGCGTCAAATCTGTCATATGTCGGAGTGTATGCAAGTGTAACAAATCAACGCATTTTCGCGCGCCGAGATGCATTATTCCCAATAAAACAAGTCAAATAAATGGCAAAAACATAGATATTTGTTATAGTCTAGTCCAATAAAGGGCAAGCTATACGCCATAGGCAATATAAGCTTTTTCATCAAGCTCGCCGGACACCGTAAGTTTAAATCCATCAAATCTGGGTTTGTTCCGAGCGTCTTGGATTGTAAGAATAAACCGCGACCTCCTTGTGCATTGTTCAAAGACACAACATACATCAATCAAAAGTAAAAGTTCGAGAAAAGATTACGGTTGCCTAGATTGACACAGTTTACGGACGCTGGAAGCTGTACCATGGAACAGATGCCTTGAATTTAACAAGCATATTTTAGTTACCTTGTCCGGTATACGTTTAGGCACGAGGTATTGGTTAGATGATTGACAATTAAATGAATCAAAAAGGAGTTGTTGAGGGACATTCGAAGAGGGTCACTGAATGAAGTACCGTGAGGGCAAATTCTGCTTCCTTTTTGCACTTGTCGAATAATTGATCTGTCTGACATGACTAACCTTGTGCTTTTGTCTCCAAATCTGACCCGCACAACAACATGAGGATGTAGGGGTTTGTTCTGGAACTTTTCAGCTAGCCACCAACCTGAAGGTATGAACCGACAGGCATTGTGCTTTAAAACACTTTAAGAGACCCTCGACAAAGCCAATGACTGGAAGCTCTAAACTACTTGTGGGTCGAGGTACTAATGCTTGTCTCTTAGAACCATCTCGGACTCTTGGGTTTTTTGACCCTACTATTGTATAAAAATGATGTTGGTCGCCCTTAATCACCTGTCGCAACCAACTGTACCACTTTACTTCCTTCAACCTCTTAGTAACAGTTCTCATATTAAGGGATCTCCTTTTCTTCTTTGTCTTGCTTTCTACTGGCTTTATCGGCATAGTTGAAACTTGTAGAACTGAGATTCAGCCTGGTAGTGCTCAAGATTATTACGGCATTTCAATTGGACCACCACGGCAAATCTGACGAAATTCATAGTGACCAATCGAAATTATGTACAGGACACCTTACCATGGAATGGATGTCACTAGTTTGAGGAGGTTCAACAGTGAAACCTGTGCTGTGCTAAACTCCAGTTGGTTTGAGTTCATGGGTCATCAAATTATGTATTTTTTCTTATTTACACTTGACAAGCTTACCGGATTCTTTCCTCTTATTCTTAGGCTGGAGTGAACAACTACTTGTTTGCGGTGGACAACAACGGATTTGTCTTGTTTCATCCGGGCTATCGACCGGTGGTAGGTTTCATCTGTGACTCCAAAAACCTTACTTCCGGTATTTGTTCCTGTTTATATATATATATATATATAATCTTTACGATACACATCAGATGATTCCAATCTCCATAACTGCATGTTAATGACTGCTGTACTCATAACTAGTGATACGTTGTCATCAGGGAGCGTAAACATTCATCGGCGGTAGATTCCTGAGAGAGGTGTTTCTCAATAATTTCGCAAACAAGGCAATAGCCGATTTTTCGCAATCCTATCAAATACTTTTTCTGTGTTCGTTCCAACGTATGGTAACTATGAACTACAAAAATAGATTGATGAAACCAATTTGAATTTTTCTAAGGCCTATTTCCATCCAGCATATGTAAACTGATCAACTACTCACGAGTAGTTGGATAAACGTGGATAAAAAAGCTGGCCATGGGAAGGAATACCAGCGCCTTGGAGTGACCTTGCATAGTTTATAGAGAAAATTAAGCGCCTTGGTAGTCACCTGCATAGTTTATAGTAGAAAATTAATGAAGATGAATACGACAAAGATGTGAAAATGTTTGTGTGTGTTTCTTGTGCAGTTTGGATACACTGACGACGTGCAAACAACAGGGGCGTACTCGTAAAGGTGAACTTAATTATTCGTATCGATAACCATACTAGTGCGTCCGTAAACGACTATCCGGGCTTGTGACAATAAGAAGTAAATGTCACCCAAAAGATATTTTATTCAGTAACTGAATTTACTAACCACGCCAGAGACTATTAGTAAAGAATTGAAATGTTTTCCCAAGCACGACATGTTTTTGGAAGATATTATCCAAACGATTAATAGAAGGCAGTAAATATTTTGCTGGAGAAACGTTCTCTGACTTCTAAGACGATGCTGCAATTTCATAATTTGAATCATAGCAGATGTTTCGATAACATCATCGTTGACAATGGTGCTGACATTGAGAAACGGTAAAATGGGTGAAGAAGTACGGTATCCACTAATCCATGTCAAGTTCTATAAAACAAAAACAATTTTGCTGAATGCGTTGATCTGGGTGTCATTCAGTGTTAAGACGAAGCCAGCCATTTCTTTGCACAATTTTTAGTTGTTTGTTGTCATTCGTTCAAATTAGACAGCGAACCACCAAAGTAAACCTTCCTTCTGAGAAGTTGGGACTCGAGAGGCCAGTCAACAATGTTCGTGCAGTGTGCAATCCCTGATTGAAATATGAGTACCGCTGTGTCTCATCTAACTAGGAATTGATTGGGTTGCTGATTAGCCGTATGGTTAGGATTTCATTTACTAGACTGAAAGTCATGGGTTACAAAAACCTGGAGTTTCTTGAAGTGTACTTGGATGTTGACGCGACAAAATGATGAAAGAGTTGTACAGTAGTCTCCGGCATTTCAAGTTAAACTGATTCCACCTACAGTACAAAGTCTCCAGGGGAAACGGTTGAGTGCATATCTTATCAGGTCTGCTTTTAAAAGTGCATCTTTTGAAATTTTTATTTATTTATTTGTCATCACAGTACAAGTCGACTTTGAAAAGCCATTATCAGAATGTGGATTTGAACGAGGTAGAAGTTCCACAGGATGTCAAAATTGATCCGGTTAGTTCACATTGTACGGAAAATCTCCCGATGTAGTTTGAAAAATGTTGTGCACTTTATGTCGATTATGACGATTGGATGAATTTTGATTTGTGACTCTTACAATGCTATATTATTCCGAAATTTTTGATTCAAAAAATTCACCGAAACATAGCAATCAAATACATTTTTTAACCAAACGCAGATCAATTGGTAATAGTGCTAACTATAGATGAACAAAACATCTGTCTAAAGTTGTGAGGCACTTTTGTCCTCACCAAGACCTAAATACTAATATCCGTACACTATCCAGCGCTCCAGCAGCGTGTAAATGCAAGAAACACCTCAGTTGAATCATTAGAAGTAGATTATGTTGAATGAGTTGGGTATGCTCTGCAGTGGTTCCAGTGCGCTCTAAATTTCTGTGGCCCATGGTGTTCCAAATAACCCAAAAAGGATTCGAGGCCGACAAAAACTTTCCTGGAACGGTAGAATTTCACAGTCAACTATTAAGTAGCTGGATTCGAAGTGCTGGGCTCCGTTCGAGCAGCTCAATTTGTATTTGTGCGCAAAAATGCTGCATATTTTTGCCCTGATGTCTGGATTTGTAGGTATAAATAGCCCAGTATATTATATTTATATCTGGCCAGCACGTCAGCTGACTAATTTTGGGATGAGGTTGAAATACGCGGAGATTATTGAACGAAGATCAACTGAGCAGCACCAAAGGTACGTTTAACCGTTTCAGATAAACAACGTTTCTGTTGTAAACTTTGCGGATGTGCGAACTCACCAGAATAATTACGCCAGGACAGGAGCACCATGTTCAAAGGAGAGTGATCTGAATATGGACAGCATCTGATTGGGAAGTGTGAACAGAGTGGCCGTTGGAAAACAGTTGAGTCTAGGTAGCGGCTAAGATTTGAGCTGCAGCACTTGTCCATTAACTTTGGTGAATAACGGTTCTCTGAGCAACTGAACTTAAAGCGCGACGTGCCCATTGGAGAACTGTGGCAATAACTCTGGCGTAGGATATCAGCCTCAGATTATTTTATTCTACTGAAGTTGGAAGTACAATCGTTTTGCCTTAAGTATCAATGAGGCAGCAACCCTTTAAGTTGCTTTATCATCTGTAAAACCGGGAAACTTATCCAATTCTCCGTTTTGAGGATTATGGACACAGAAGAAAATGTAATGATTTCCCACTTGATAATTTTTAGTTAAAATAGCAAATAAACCATCCACATAACATCTGTATACTTCCAGTTTCTTGGTTGTCCGTATGTATGCCTGCGAGCACCGGTTTCAGTGAAATTCCCATTTGTTTAAACTGTATAACATTCAATAGACACTGTCCATTCGTTTCGCAGCTGTAACGTTGTCGTTAAATCGTCGTTTTGACCAGCGAATTCACTTTTTCATGCTGCACATCGGCAAAAAATTTCATATTTTCAACAAATGAAAAATGGCTGTATAAACTCGCTCCGGAAGAGTCTTGAGGTGCTTATAAGAGTAGTTCATCTATAGCCATTACAAGCAATCATTTGTCGGATACCAAATCTGGAAGCACACCCACTAAGCCTCATTAGATACTTCCCTTTGGAATTTGCACAAACGCTCCATCGCGGTTTTTAAACAAAGCCTAAATGTAACAGTCAAATCGTGATTTTTTTCATTAAATTTTATAGTGACGCCATGTTTACTGCTAGCTGCTGACATAACTGTCAACGAGGATAGCGGATTTTGAGAGGTTTCTATTATTGGTGCACAGGTGTTGATAACCGTAATACAAATCAGGTGTCTGCACTAATGAGTCTTTACTGTGGTTGACAGCAGTTTACAGAGGCGATTTGCCGCATGTATAAAATAAGGGGCAATATAAAATGTGGAGCAAGACAAAAAGGAACTTATCGTGTGCGAGAGTGCCTTGGTGAAAGTCCGGATGGTGGGAATGTGTTTTCCCCATGGTATTGCTGCTACACGTGTTCCATGGTTGTCCGTGGACTTGTGGAGAGGTTGACTTCCTGCTCCCTGCGCGCGCGCGAGTCTGTGCGCTGACCGTGTTCGGTTTCCCTATGTAGGTCCGTTTGCGTTACCTGAGCGCGTCAGCACATGAGTAGTTGCTACGCTCACAGACAATCGATGCCCGGTGAGTCAGCTTAGTGTGACGTGGTTTGAGTATCAAAAAAGATAAGCCTCGTGATCCAGTGAGCGACTGTGAGCTGAACAGTCAAGTGTGTGCGTTACGGGGTGGCTACACTATCGCGAATCTTTTATAAAAATACTCGAAGTGGGTAGAATTGCATCCAGCCAGACGTAGCCAAGTGAAAAATTCTGAAGGGGTTTACTGACCTTTAGTAGTGGATGCAGGAAAACGGCACTACCATGCAGAGAGGCCGTTCCGTTGAGGACCCTACAAGCACTTTCTACCAGATGTTCCATGTGACTGACAGTCCAATCGCGTCCTTCCTAGCATTTTTACAAGTTCCATACCGCTATGCTAGATTCAAATGAAGAAAGTGCAAATTTAAGAACAGGAGTAAAACTCCAAGAGAAGCAACATCAATCTTCACGGATGGTCCACTAACCGGTAAAGCAAACCATCAAGAAAACACGGTGAAAATACGACACTCACATTAGAGTAGGGAACATGGCTGGCCCGAAACTCATGACGTGACCGTATGGTCACATTGATCAGTTTGCAACAAACAAAAACCACCTACACAACCAGCACAATCTATCATTGTTCTGTCAGCCATTAGCAAATCCTGATGCGGACGGTGGTGCCTCAAAGCAGCACACTGTTGAACCAGGAGGACACCCCCCGAAAACTCTGTGGGTTATAAATCAATAATCAGACTATCTAATGGGCAGAAATGATCTGTGCGTCAAATCTCCCCTTCCCGGAGAAACATAGTGAACAGATCATGTAGTTTATCCATCAGGCCGATATTTATTTTTCTCAGTTTCAAAATACATATACCCTGAGTTTTTTGAGTGGCACAAAACTGTGTCTGTCAACATCTACGCATAAAGTGATTTCATATCTTGCAAAAGTATAAACAATTCCACGAATGATCATGCGTAGTACAATTCACTTGATAAGGCTTATTTTTGCCCCAGAAACCCTGATTAGTTGCCAGGCTTTCGCTTGTGCACCGATACGCCGAAGTCACGTTACGGCCAAATCACTATTTTTGCTACAATGGAGTTGGTGATCAAGCGTCTGAAGAAGAGATAAAGTTGAGTAACCTTCCAAGTCAATGTTTGGACTAAAGAATCTGCGAACTAGGTCTACCTAGAATACAGATTGTGTAGAAGTGAGTAGGATCTTTTTTGCAATATATCACCAAGGAAAAAATGAGTCTACTTCGAATGCAAGACAGAAGGTTGTTTCAGGGTAATTTTTTTGGGAAACTGTAGGTTGAAAGCGAATGGGTATTCTTACTAGAGGAACACGGAGAACTCATTCAAATTAGGCGAAAAAGATCATGAATAGCATTAGGTTACGTTACTTGATCCTCTGAGTGACTTCTGCATTGCGCCACATTTATATCGGGGAGCGATGCGCGTTATTCATCGAATATTACGTTTGTGCTGTCAAAATATTCACAATTTATGCGGTCTTGTTGCAAGTTGCTACACATTATCATCCGCCTGAAACAGGTTTCAATAACACTTCTTCAAAGTGTTTGTTCAGAAAAATGTGCAGAATCTGCAAATATTTCGAAGAACTCTCTCAACACATCCACAAAGTGGGAGGTGAATAATCGGAACTAAACTCTTCACCAAATGTTACCCCTTAGCTTCACTCCTCCACATTTCATCGCCAAGTCGAACCGAGTAGGTACACGGGGATTCTATCCTCTATGGCTGCTAGAGTGAGCTTATAAATTGCTGTTCGCTGCGGTTTTAGGAAAAACAGAAGTACAAGTAGAAAGGATGTCCGTTGGTGAAATAAGTGTGAGTAACTTTTGGCCATAACTAGTACGAAGCTGTAAACACACCTATCAACAATGTCCTCATGCAGCAAAAAAAGATCATTTTTCTATCTTCGAGTTTTTTTTAAAATTAACTTTGCAGTCAACTAGTGGTATTATTCTGTTTTTTTTTGCGCAGAATACCGGTACCCCAGACTATGCTACTCCGGTAAGTGTATGCTATTCCTGATCAAAAGAACTTTTTTCATGTTGTTACTTGCCAAGATGCAGGTTTCCGCACCTAAGTCACCCTTGAGTATTTTTTTAGGTTCTTTATACCTGTGGATATTCAGCAGTTACGTCTCATTGCAGTGCGTTTTTTAGGCTGGTTAGTTTTGAGGTTAAGTTAGCTAACTACTTGTTCACTTTATTTTTTTTTAAAAAAAAACAACGAATGCTGGATAAACCGAGTCATTTTAAGGGATTCAGATGAGCAGAAAAACCAGACCACAAGTGAACCTATATGGAATTTTGGACTGTCATTTTTAATCAGCTTAGGCTGAATCAGTTGATAAAACCACGGTATATTCAAGTGGATTCATCTTTCGCTCACTCATCGCTGCACAGTTATCCCCTTTGCAATCATATCATTTTGAAAGATCACAGCATTTTAGGCCTGTTTGTCCTAGTCGACCATGAAGTTCAAATGCATAAGCTACATGCCATACTCTAGTGAACCAAAGTGACATGCAGGCTCTCTCCAAACTCTTTTATATAGCTCATTATCACTAAGCTCGATTTAGTTTTTTTTCGCGTACACTGGAAAACCGTAATCTAGATGTAAGACAGGACAGTCATTAAAACATCAAGATCAATCCTTAACTGGATGTGGAGAAAATTGCTGAAGCTGAATCCCATAAGTAGAGTGAGTTATCATTCTATGAATCGATTGAGAAACTTTATTTTTGATTTTAAAATAACTTGTGGACCCAGACACCAGCAAGTAGAAGTATTTATTCATATTTTCATGTTGTTGACAAAAACCTTATCAGCACATCAGCTTTTCCGAAATGAATACGTATTAGCCTATACAAAAGTAGTAACACCTGAATAGTTTTTACCCAAATATGGTCCGAATATGTTTAAAATTTGATAGACAATGGTAAAGAAGTTACGGGTTGAAACGCACCACAACAGGGTTTACGATGTATGTAACCACAACTTTTTGAAAATCACCGTTAAAGTTTGTAACCCCTTAAAAAGAACCAAAAGCGCTTTGCCTAAAAACTTGGCCACACCTCACCGTGGGTATGTATTGGTTGAACTAACTTCGGCGTTGTTCAGTCGGTTCAAACACCGGTATTTTTCTCCGCGTTAAGGACAGGTAGTGAGAGGTCACGCGTTTCGACTCTCATGCGACATGCGCTTTAATACGCTTATAACCACTGAAAACTCACCTAAACGGTGCGAGAAGTGATTTTCCCATTTGACGTGGTATAACATGAAACTCCTCTAGGAAGGTGCGTAAAATAAATCGTTACCTAAACGGTGCGAGAAGTGATTTTCCCATTTGACGTGGTATAACATGAAACTCCTCTAGGAAGGTGCGTAAAAATAAATCGTTCAGCTGTAGCACCCTTTCGGTGCTTCGCTGCCCTGCCACCAGAAAGAAACACGAGGGCTGGGATACTGCCAGGTCGCCAAGGCTAGACAAAGGAAGTCGAGAGGCAGAGGCCAGGTTCGAACTACGGACCTGATGGTCTGTAAATTCGTGCTCTAACCACTTGCTCCTTCTCGCATCCGAGAAGGTACAAGCTAAGACCCGTCACGGTGAGTAGATTAGAGAAGTTTCCAGTGTCTTCGTATACTAATATCGCATGCAAAGAAGTTCCCCGAAAAAAAGATCTGGCCGCGTGCGCCAGCGCTATCCTTTGCTTCATCATTATATCGAAAAACAGAATCACCAAAGATCAATTCGAAATATACAAAAATATTATACTGTCGATGGGTATGACACACAAGGCTTGGCACACTCAGTAAGCGGAAGTTTTATTAATAGTAGAGTTTCATGTCTCATAATGGTCTTTTAAAATACATCGCTACATTCAATACGCGGCATGCAGCTCCTCAAACTCACCTTGCCAGTAAACTTGACATTTCGAATTAAAAGTTCAGTATTAGCTGAAGATGTTTTGCCAGTTAGCAAGCAAATATTCATGCCAAAATTTTCTGCATCAAATATAACACAGAAAATACTTAAAGGTGTCTTTTTGTCTACCTAGTACTTCAATTTATAAGCTAATACGTGAATTATTGCAACAAACAGGTCAAATTCATAAACACGCCTTACAATATCCTCGTAACACTTGGTGGGCATACTTTCAATTAAGAGTTTCCAGTTCGTCCACTAGGATCCTGTGTTTATGCCTTTTCTTTGTTTCTCCAGCTGCGAGAAGCAATGGTTGAAAGAGAACGAAAATCAAATGAACTCCCAGCCCAAATTGTCACGGATAATTTTGTAAGCTCAGAAAGTCTGTTTTTCATTACGACACGTTTACGGTTCCATTGCTAGAAAAGACGTTTTTTGGTATATTTATAGTGAGGTTACGGTTATAAGCAACTTCTGGGGCACTTCCACTTGTTTTTTTAACAATCAAGGATATTAAATATCTTTTAAATCCGGAAAAGTCATATTTTAGTTGACAGCATTCAATTTGCTGGGGAGCTAATTGACTGATGCCTACTTTGGAACATTTGGATCGTCATGAACCTTCTAGGTCATTGAAATTAAGCCTGGAAAGTCGATGGATGCGCGCTGCAGTTAACTTTCACAGACTGATGGTTTGGCGTAGACGTTGACTGTGCCCAGCATTACACTCTGGATAATGAAGAAGTTACTCCGTGGGCTAAGAGCACTCTGCACATACGGAAAGTAATAGGTTCGGTCAACTGAAATCAACATTAGGTGAAACAATTCTGCGTAAAATTATAGATTTATGGTCTTCCCCGGGGTAGATAAGTAAAAAAAAATCTTAGCATCAGTGATGGTGAAGGTACCCCGTTAATTTGTGATTTTCAAACCAAGTCAGGGTAGTATTGTAATCCACAGTAAGCAAGTTTGGCCTGCACACTAGAAAGGCTGAATGAACACAGACAAACAACTCACGGAGAAAACCGAACCCTCAGGAGACTTATTTTTCTGGTCTATTGAATGCGGCCAGAATCTCTCTGAAGAATCCATCTCAGTTCACTGTTGATTTCACTTGAATATAAGCGTCATATTCGGAAAGTAAAGTTTGCGGTAGAAACGCAAAGCATGTGTTATCGAAGATCAAATACGTAAACGTGCTTTCTCTGATGACAAGGCGTGATATTTGGGTGGCTGATACCTAAAGCTACCGAACAGGTAGACCTTGCAATTGAAGATAGCGTAGTCAGCTTATTCTTTGTATGCTGAAATGGATAACCTACTTTCAAGCAATTTGTTATCAGCTGAGAGGACACCACCATCACGTCGCTGTATAGGGGTGGAGCACTGCATTAGTTCTTTAAACTAGTAAAATAAAGTTTTCCAGCTCAGCTAGATGAGTCGAACAATTCTTGACATCAACTGGAATACAGTACCATTTCTAGCGGGCTTGATGTCATATAAGAAAGTCATCAAGCATACAAGTGTTGCGTCATTCGTTTATAGAAAAGGACAACCATAAATGATATATGTATGCTAATGTGCTGTATTTGTTTGCCCACGTGAGGGAATAGCCCCTTTTATGGACAAAACACGCTCGTGCTTGTCATTATTCAGACAGTAAATCAGCAGCCATAGAAAAAGGTTAATCGACTGGAGGTTCTCCGACCGTAGCGGCCGATCGATCTTTTAAAGTACATTTCTTTTTTATTATGTTGTGCTTTAAGCGTCAAGGCCTCAGAGTGAATATGTCATTTGATCTCCAAATTCTTCGGTAGCCAACAGGTCTCTACAACAATCTGAGTGATCTCTTTGATGACATTTGATCTCTCCAAGTTTGTGTAATTAATGAGTCAGCTGCGCCCTGACACAAAAAAGCTGAGAGATTTTCCGAGAAAATGGGATAAGGCACTACACAGATGAGAAATCCCACAGAATTCTAAGAGACTACCCGGGTGACTCTACTGAGGAGCAAATGGATCATTTTGGAGTAAGCGGTCATGTTTTGCCTAAAAAGATGGTGTAATATTGATCGGAAGCCCAATATTTTGTCCAATATTCGCACATTATGAAGACATTAACTGCGAATATGGCAACCAGATTATTTAGCCTGAATACAGCCAACTATTCGGCACCGAAAATCGTTACTGTGGAGCGATTGGTTAACTTTGACATTATGCTATAAGAAGACTGTAACGCTTATTCGACGCAGCCACTTATGATGGAAGTGATTCACACATTTGAGCTCAAACTAGACAACGGTATTTTCTTAAGGGATCACGATTTTGAAGGTTGCTGAAAGCTCTTCGACAGCGCATGTCAGGTTGCACTCTTCTTTGCTGCTTATCAGATATGCTGACCCCAAGTTCCCGCTAGAAATAATTTTAGTGAAATAATATCATACGGAATGGATTTAGTAAACTCCGTTGTTAACAGCATTTAGCTGAGTTTACGTGGCCCAGAGTCTGCAGCAAATTGCATGTTTTGTACCAGTCACATTTGACTTTTCTTCGCTGCTCTATATGACAGTATAATACAACACGTTTTTTCAAATATCTCAAACGTATACCTCTGGCGTTTTTTTCACTGCAACCTGATGACCAATATTATTTCGTCATTTAGCACACGACGTTCCAGGCCACGAGGAAGTACTTTTCAACTCCACTGGAACAAACACCATTCACCTTGGGTCTTGCGGTTCAGTGGAATGTGGAAACAGGCAAAGGCGATGCTATTCCCGAGTTTGTTGGGGCTAAAGCAATGGCAAACGAGCAAGTAAAGAGTAGGTCTCACAAGTTACTCACTTAAACATGTCCTGTCCGAGTCATGGATGCCCGAGTCAAGACGACAGGATGTACATTATATGGATGTTAAGTTCTCTTTCAAATTACCTCTGCTCAGATAAACTGGGCTGTTCTAGTATACACAGAGCTTCAATATTTCAGATTTCAAATATTACCAATGAAGTAGACGATCTGAAAAAAATCGAAACATGGGTGACAACTCAACGTCAGTTTGAAAAAAGTGGTGGTCAGTTCGTGGCTAAAATGCGCAAATAAACATTGCTGTTGCAATTCCCTAGGAGTTTCGACTATGACTGCCCCAGTACAAGTATGATTGGGTAAGAGAAACCATGTATTTGAGCCCAAAAAGTAACAGCTGGGCATCTGATCTACGGTGTGTGTCCGGATAGTAAAAAATATTAGTGGTATGCTGCTAAACTAGATCGATGTGGCCAAATCGCCCCCAATAACAGCAATCCGGTAATTTTTTGGTTTGAACAAGATTTTGCATCCTTGAAATAAATTTTGCTCTGACTCTTTTCACTATCTACTGTGCTTCTCGCTTACATACGTGTGAGATACGTTTGAAAAGTTTGTTTATTTAATTGTATTTCCCAACTTTGCAACCGATCGTGAAATTTTCCATTCACGTTACTTCAAGTGTTGTCATAAGGTTGTCAGTGCCTCTTTGAAACGGCTAATCTGACAGAATAAAGTCACGTGCGCTGAACACTGCCATTCGAAGGACAACCAATAAAGCTGAGTGTGATTTCCGTTTCATTCAAATCACGGGTATTCTGATTTTAATCGAGATTTCATTCAACAACAAAAAAAAACAAATTAATCTTGAAAAGCCTAAACACACCATACGGCTGTTTCATCTCCATTGAGGAAGACTGCTCGTTCAGATCTCAGAACAAAATATGGACTAAAGCATTCTGGTCAAAAAATTTGATTTCGAGTGCCAAAAAGTCACTCACGTTTAAACAGAATATAGTCATTAGTTAAGATGTACAACTTTTGATCGATAAGTCACAGGTTCGGGTAGCTGCACTTTCCTGCTAGATCTTTTTTAGAACTGTGAGTGAAGGATGAAATGTTTAATAATATTTGAAAACGAACATCCATTTTAGTCGGTCTTAGAATCATGTATCCGTAGCTATTACTTGGCTTCATCGAGTTTCATTGGTTCAATCACATATACTGCTTATACCTGTGTTTTAAATGCAAAAGGTAAAGCATACTTCCGTTGGTGTGGTTTGCCACTAATTTCGGACAAGCCTTGGCTTGGGAAGAAGGAAACCTGGCCGAGGATTACCAAGTGAACAGCCGCCATCTTAGATTGGAACCACGTCTATCTGGTCAGTCGAACACGCATACACGCCCTATCATATAAACAGTAACTTCTATTTACGAATGGATACACAACAAACAGCCCAGAACATTTCTGTAAGGCTAGCGATACAGATACCGTTGACGGGGGTTCCTGTAAAGTGAAATATTAACTTGTTAGTAACGGCGTTTTGTATAGTGACTGTTGATGTTATAGATAACTCGCCTAAAGGTAAACACACTATGATTGATTTTCTGTGGTTCATTGAACTTTCAGGAAGTGATATGGACCGATTTGCTCCCGTCTATGCAGAGGACACTGGTAAAGACTGCAGTGCAATTCACAATCATTCGCATCAAGGTGCAACGCTCAGTCCTTAGTAAGTTTCAAAGCAAACGGCACTTGGGTACTCTGCTTACGGTTTCCGATTATTGAAGTTTTTTTACTCTTGAGGAAGTAGACGATTTCAAGTGGGTTTAAAGCCGAAATTCCTGATATTCAGGAACCAAGTCTATGGGACCGGCCTCTAACAAGGTCTAGCTGAATACTATTGTGACAGGAATGTAGCACAAATTGATGATCGCTTGGAAAAATACCTGTGAGAATTTCGGGTAACACACTTAGCTGATCAGTAGCAAACAAGATGATACGGTATACCATGCTCCGGAATATGCCTTGGTGGTTGACACTAACAAGCAAAGACATGGCAAACGGACTGCTATAATAATGAAAAAGTTTTTTTGAAGTCGTGAGAAGTGAACTAAGTTGATTAGATAAATTAACTGCGAAGGCGAACTAACGGTGGCAGTCCGATTCAAAGGGCTCTAAGTAGAAAAATGTACAATAATCCAGACCTGCCACCATGTGTTTATGGGCAGAGTGCTGACCCCATTTAGCGGAAATCCTGGTTAACAATCAGTAAACAAAAGATGCCTTGTAAGTACAGTCAGCATTTCGGTGTATGGGAGCCTAATTGTACGACCAGTGGGCTCACGATTTAGGCATCCCAGCTTGTATAAGAAGCTTGTACTAGAGAGTGGCATTTTCGTACTTTTTGCAGGTGCATTTTTTCCAGAAGAATGAATCACGGTTCTAAAATTTTAGTGTCACCTATCAGCAGAGCATAGTCATCTAACGCAGAACCCAAGTGTATATATCTGTACAGTAAAAGCATAACGTTTTGAACTTTTATACTGTTTTTGGCTTCCTAAATCTTATTACAAAGCGCCATACATGGTCCTTTACTCATCGGATATGAGGAGAAATGGAAACCGATCTCCTTAAAGGTTAGAGAGCTCAAAATAACAGATAATTGAGTTTGGTGTAAGAGTATTCGACATGGTAAGTCGGAATCTATTTGTAAAGTGCGTATATTGTGCGCAAAGAGCAACTTCTGGTGAATTATTATGAAAAACTCTGGAATCAGAGAATAGAACTTGGAAGATCATCGATGCAGTATCCTGTCGGTTTCTGGAATAAATTAGTGTTTACCTCAATGACCAGTCTGTGGACACAAACCACTGTAAGGGCTAAGCGCCTCAGGATTCTCAACTAACATTATATATATATATATATATATAGTTGTAACCTCAAGACTACTAGTGTCTGATCGCCAAGCCTAAGGTCTGCCATTTCACCCCACAATCCTCACTTTCTAGGAAAATAAGAGTTAGTCTCAAAAAAACAGACTAATAATTTGCAAACTAAACTCACGTTACAACGAGAAAACGGTTTACGAAAGATGCTCCGTCTGAAGTATAACGATAAATGCACGCTGCGTAAATTGTAAGTTGTACAAGTGTACAACAACCTAGGCATCGCACGCATATAATAAAAATACTAGATTAAACTCATTGGACAGAGAAAAACTTTGACAAATTACTCGCTGAAGGATCATCCTTTTTCGTCAAACTATGACATCCCGCTATCAAGAAACGCAAAATCTTTTTCATGTTCTCCCGATTTCAGTCAATTTTGTCAGTTCGATCAAGATCTAGCTGCTCTGTGGCAGGCCGATCCGATTTGTGCACTTCGACGTATACTACTGGATGGTGAATTACAGCAACGCATGATGTGTAAGTTTTGTATAACATGATACTACTTTGTGCACCGCAATGAGTCCAAAACATCGTCAGCTTATGTGGCACTTTACTGAATGTAAAAAGTGCTCACGATCTACCCTCAACCGCAAGAACCAGCGACTTGCTTTTAATCGACGGTAACCAGACTGATTTTCCTGGCTTTTCTCACGTTCTTGATTTCAACCTAATAGTATGGATATAGTTCCAACTCGACAGTTTTGCGAAAATAGCCTTCCGGTTGTGACCATATTGTTATAGTATACAAGGTATGTGAGAGTATTCAACAGGTTTTATGTAACTCATTGAACTAAACGCACAGCATAATGCTGGCCAGTGGAATGTGTACGGCGGCTGATTGCGCAGATGACGCGCGAATGAGGAGGAAAACCAACCAATCAGAGACCCGATATGATCGGCTAACGGACTCGAATTTCGTATCCCTCCGTTTTATCACTGAAACAACGATAGAATCGACGCAAAAAGCAATTCTGTAACAGGAAAACCCAAGCTAGTCAAATAATTCAGTGTGCTAAATGTGACCTAGAAACTAGCCACTGGCAAGCACGGTGTGGTTTTACATGGTTACGACACCTAAGATCAAGAGACTTGAGAATATGCACCAAGTATTCTTTATTGTAGCTTTTCAAAGAATTTGATAAACTGTTTGAGCCGTCTTGGTATACCCAGAGTCCTCTCCCTCAAGCTCCTGTAACCATGAACTAAAGGACTGTATGACACTATTGACCACAAAATCCGACCAAGGCGTCGTTTGATGCGCGGACAACTGATCTCATTGGTTTGGTCACTTCAAACTGTGTAAAGTTCGGGTAGTAGACCATATAAACTCTACTACCCTAGAGAGGTTGATAACAGGTTTGTGTGCAGACCTGCAGTTATTAAGAAGAAACTATTTTTCTGTTAACTACGAGGTTTTTGCGGACTTTGCTTTAAGTAAAAACAAGGAATTGAGTACTTTCATATAGGCTGTAAAGAACCCTTGAAATCGGTAGGAATGTTAGAATTTGAACATGATGAAAAAGATATTCGATCGGTATTTTGATTTCCAGTACTGCCCTTCAAAAAATACTGAGCACAGAAAGCCTCAGGATTCTCAACTAAAATTATATATATATATATATATATATATATATATATATAGTTGTAACCTCAAGACTACTAGTGTCTGATCGCCAAGCCTAAGGTCTGCCATTTCACCCCACAATCCTCACTTTCTAGGAAAATAAGAGTTAGTCTCAAAAAAACAGACTAATAATTTGCAAACTAAACTCACGTTACAACGAGAAAACGGTTTACGAAAGATGCTCCGTTTAAAGTATAACGATAAATGCACGCTGCGTAAATTGTAAGTTGTACAAGTGTACAACAACCTAGGCATCGCACGCATATAATAAAAATACTAGATTAAACTCATTGGACAGAGAAAAACTTTGACAAATTACTCGCTGAAGGATCATCCTTTTTCGTCAAACTATGACATCCCGCTATCAAGAAACGCAAAATCTTTTTCATGTTCTCCCGATTTCAGTCAATTTTGTCAGTTCGATCAAGATCTAGCTGCTCTGTGGCAGGCCGATCCGATTTGTGCACTTCGACGTATACTACTGGATGGTGAATTACAGCAACGCATGATGTGTAAGTTTTGTATAACATGATACTACTTTGTGCACCGCAATGAGTCCAAAACATCGTCAGCTTATGTGGCACTTTACTGAATGTAAAAAGTGCTCACGATCTACCCTCAACCGCAAGAACCAGCGACTTGCTTTTAATCGACGGTAACCAGACTGATTTTCCTGGCTTTTCTCACGTTCTTGATTTCAACCTAATAGTATGGATATAGTTCCAACTCGACAGTTTTGCGAAAATAGCCTTCCGGTTGTGACCATATTGTTATAGTATACAAGGTATGTGAGAGTATTCAACAGGTTTTATGTAACTCATTGAACTAAACGCACAGCATAATGCTGGCCAGTGGAATGTGTACGGCGGCTGATTGCGCAGATGACGCGCGAATGAGGAGGAAAACCAACCAATCAGAGACCCGATATGATCGGCTAACGGACTCGAATTTCGTATCCCTCCGTTTTATCACTGAAACAACGATAGAATCGACGCAATAAGCCATTCTGTAACAGGACAACCCAAGCTAGTCAAATAATTCAGTGTGCTAAATGTGACCTAGAAACTAGCCACTGGCAAGCACGGTGTGGTTTTACATGGTTACGACACCTAAGATCAAGAGACTTGAGAATATGCACCAAGTATTCTTTATTGTAGCTTTTCAAAGAATTTGATAAACTGTTTGAGCCGTCTTGGTATACCCAGAGTCCTCTCCCTCAAGCTCCTGTAACCATGAACTAAAGGACTGTATGACACTATTGACCACAAAATCCGACCAAGGCGTCGTTTGATGCGCGGACAACTGATCTCATTGGTTTGGTCACTTCAAACTGTGTAAAGTTCGGGTAGTAGACCATATAAACTCTACTACCCTAGAGAGGTTGATAACAGGTTTGTGTGCAGACCTGCAGTTATTAAGAAGAAACTATTTTTCTGTTAACTACGAGGTTTTTGCGGACTTTGCTTTAAATAAAAACAAGGAATTGAGTACTTTCATATAGGCTGTAAAGAACCCTTGAAATCGGTAGGAATGTTAGAATTTGAACATGATGAAAAAGATATTCGATCGGTATTTTGATTTCCAGTACTGCCCTTCAAAAAATACTGAGCACAGAAAGCATTGTAGAGAGAGAAATGGATTAAATATGCGGTTTGGAAAAAATTAACCTCAATTAATATTACAAACACCAAAAAAATTAGCAAATGAAATCCCGTGGGAACAGCTAGTCCACAGCCGTGAGGACAGTTATGGGTTGGTGGAGAACGAGAAACAAGGATTTGCAAAGACCAACGAGCTTTCACCATACCATAAAGTGGTCCTTAAAATTTTATTTTTCTCACGCAGTTTGATCATTCTGTTATTCAAGTGGATTCTCGGGTCACTTTTTGCTGAAATTCGTTGCCCGTTAGCCAAAGGCTGTTCATCTACATTCATCACGTTTGGAAGAAATGAGAGAATATGGACAGCTTTTCCAACAACTCTCGGTTGCAAGCTAATCTGGTTTTAAAGAATACTTAAATGAATCCATCTACAAATCTCATTTATGATATTCTTCAACTAAATGTGCTGCTCAAGGTCACTCCTTGTTTAACTTGGTTTGATATTCGAGATGTGGCGTTACATTGCCTAGAGACAACACACTAGTCACTAAGTCGCAGAAAACACTCCTCGGGTTACATTAGATAGCCGAGGCACTCTAGTTTTCGTCAACTAATTCCCAAGAATGGCGGAACCGGCCAAGAGTTTTCGAAGAATTTTCAGCAATCCAATGGGTAGTGTTATAGCATCCGTTTCTTGTTCGGTCGATCGTCGATTGAGGAAGGTTTTGATGTACTACGGGTTCTGAAATTATAGGTTCACATCTCATGCTATGTCGAGTTAAGATGTGGTTTGACGGTGGGTCGGGGAGGCAGAGAATATCCAGGAAACCAAGGCCAGTCCATGCAGATATTTCAACAACACCTTGCAGTTCTTTATTCTGGCTTTCACTTGCGTGCTTACCTTGAAAGGTAAAATTTAGCTTGTTTGGAGAGTCGCAGGTGGGCTATCTCATAAACGTTACTCCTTTAGTGATTAAGTACAGCTCACAAAAATTCTAGTAATGGTAATGACTTCTCCCTTGTAACAAGTTTGCAGATGAAGCACGACGTTTTGGATACGTTGTGCTGTATTCCTACACAGACCTTAAGAGTAAGTAAACGATAGAGAATACCTTGTCAGTTGCCTGCCTTCAACTAAAAAGACTAGTTCATTCCATGTGAATCTGGCTTGATATCCCGAATAGGATTCATTCTAGCAGGCTTCAGAACTTCGTCGTTTGCCTTGCTGAAAGCGATCGGTTGGTGCAATCGATGCAATTTTCCCTCTCTGTTAACTGCAAGGTGAATGATGGGGCCAATACTGTGGGACACTTTGATCCTGTTTTACTGCGGCTTTGTGTCACTACCGCTTAATAGACCACTTCACGGTGGCTTCCGAAGGATGTTACTCAGTCCCATCAAGCAGAATCTACAAACTCAAGGCATACCTGGTGGTTGAAGGGGACGAAGAATGAAGGTCGACCCCAAATACGAGCAAAAAACGCAGCTCAGGAGATCCACATACGTAAAATTAACACAGTTTCAGGGATGAATAGCTGTCATAAATGGCTTTATGCGCGTGCTACTTCTTGAGTTTTGAATCATTAGCGAGTCACTGCAAGAGGCCGCTATGAAGTGAAGCGGATGGTCATCAATTTGCTCACCGCTCAGGCATTAGCCAATGTTAGCTGTCTGATCGGGGTTAGTTGACATACAGAATGTACATACAGTAGAGCACATATTGTATGTCCATATTCTGATCCTGGTTTTAAACTCTCACGTACTCCAAAACAAGGTTTCATGAACGTATGTTCAACAAAATTTCAGCCAGTTTTATCCGATATACATTTTTTAGACTTTTGAACTTAAAGAGATTATTCAACATGGCTTTCAAGATAGTGACAAACGTTCCCATCTAAAACGATAATGCATCTGATTGTTTTCGCCTTTCATGTTCGGCTGCCACTCTGTTGCATTAGTGCTTGTAGACTTTGTCATTGAACCACACAGTGAAAGCGCTCAGTCACTCCAGAAAGCAGCGCAATTTGTGAAATGCTTTAAAAGCGCGCTTTCCAAGAAGTCAAACAGGACCACTCCACCTGGGTTCTACGTTTTGTATGTGAAGCTGTGGATCATAATCTACGATATTAATGATGTACTGATCGCATCCTTGATGGACACTCAAATCCTTCTAAAGCTTTCTGCTCAAAGTCTTCCATGTACATGTTGGCCAAAATCGGGGATATTGGTGATCCCATCGCCAAACCTTGTTCTTGAGAGTAAATACTTGAGTCAAAAACAAAATGACTGAGGTTTCGGCATACCTATATGCCTTCAACCATCTCGTCTACGGAGAGTTGCGTTCGTTCTTGCAGCGTTGTGTCTGCCAGTAAAAAGTAGTCCACTCTTAAATTCTACATTAATGTCTTTATTATTGCTTGATTATCCTATTATTTTTCCGCAAGGCGATATGGACTACCTTCTTCAGATCCGCTTGGACGCCAAAGAGACTCAGCCTCTGCAAAAATTCTGGACTCAAGTCCACTCAAGTCCACTAATTTCAAAGTAAGTTTCATTATTTTCTTTGATAGTGCACATATCGTAATCTAATGAAACGGATAGGACGTATGGAAAGTCCTGCAAGTGAGGATAGGGTGATACTCTAGTTGAACAGGAGAAATATATTATAGGGCTGCTCCCAATTTTCAACAGAAGTTGATGTGTGTGTTTAGTGAGACAAATTGAGACCGATTAGGTCTTTCTCCAAAAAGCCTAAGTGGGCAACATAATCTGTCGGAAACGGATTAAGAAAAGTCCACTAGTGTTTGCAAGTTAATAAGTAACAAGTCAAGACTTCTGTCTTCCAGGGTTGTATTTAACTTACCTTGTTCTTCCAGTGAATTTCCAGAGAGAACTAAAAAGTTTGGACTCGTGAAAATGGAGAAAAATCATCTGCATGAATGGACCTAACTCAAATTATTTTGCCGTCCGAATAAGTAGCATAATCCAAGACAAGCACACATCGTTCACCTTAATCCAATATATTGATTTTCTGGGTGGCCGAGGGGAAAAGATCATTGTTACCATTTCGACGACTGAGGTTCAAACTCACATAGTCAGCTTCCATTGTGGCGATCCCTACACACGTTGGTTTAGTTTAAAAACAAAAGACGAAGTTTTCACTTCACAACTGCGGACCAACGAGCAAAGAAACTCTATAGTCTCTGAGATTGGGGTAGCATCAGTTGTTCTAGTTAAATTCTACAAAAGTCTGGTGGATAAACGTGTCCATGATCTCCTGCTTTTAAATATTAGCTCAGACCCTTTTTGCCCAAACAATATGATAAACAAGAGATCTAGTTGAGGAGCCCCAAAGGAGGCAAAAGTGGTCGTGGGTTGTCGGGGAGTTTTCAGGAAACCTGTGAATAGTTTCCTCCATTAAAAGATCCTGCGATATCCCAAATATCTTTCCAAATGAAACATGAAGCGGTCTTTTTGAAACACATTCGGTTGACGAGTATGATAAACCAGGAGTTTTCAGGAAACCTGTGAATAGTTTCCTTCATTGAAAGATCCTGCGATATCCCAAATGTCTTTCCAAATGAAACATGAAGCGGTCTATTTGCAACACATTCGGTTGACGAGTATGATGAAGCGGAGGTTCAGCTGAGTCCCCGTAAAAACCAAATCGATAAACTAACAAGTGTATATGTCGTGATTTCTGGCTAGTTTCGTTTCGGCAATTATGGAGTTGTTTTGTTTCTGATGGATTCTCCGCAGACTAACTCTCGAAGACACTTGAACTCCACGAATAACACGATTGACCACTGCTTGATTAATTTGGTTTGGGAACTAGATGATCTTCTCGCTATTACATTGGATGGAAGCTGAATTTACCGAACACTCTCCGTAGCCAACTGTTTAGGCTGTAAAACGAGATCGATCATGCTGCTCCATTTGTCGCAAATGCGTCCCTTCATCGCGTTATTGTTCTCTTTAAAATACGGTAGGGTTCACATATTGATCAACAAATAGCTGATATGGTTCGGACCCACTTGTGGCCAATTTCTGCCCAATAAATAACTGCCTATACCGCATTTGGTATTGTTTCAACCAGAGATGCTTGACAGAATGTGTAATGAGATATTTTTAACTCCGCCACATTGGCTTAATAACCCCTTCGCTTTTACTCCGAATTGCTACCTCTGTTCAGAATCTCCTATCCTAGTTGTCTAAGTGGTACGATTACAACTACGTGAACAATCAACGCTTTGGCTGGCATCTTTACACGAGTGTCGCTTGCTCACATTTGCCACCATGTGTGGGCCGGATATGCTCTCGCAAGTGTCTCCACCGAACATAATTACTGGCATAAGCTAGCAGGCAAGGGTTTTTCCATTTTTTTTCAGAGGCGCAGAAAGTTCGGCATAAGAGGTGGTTTTCTGTATGCTCGCACACTGAACCGGCTAGAAAAATCAATTCGGCTGTTTTGCAAACCTCATTCAGCTTGTTCACGTAATGTACATGTCCAGACCTGGTGAAATTGAAATTTCCCCTTTATTGCTTCAAAAACTTTGGGCGTATCCAGGCATTTTAACGATTCGATCCTGCAAAGACAAATAGACTCCTATTTTCTGCTGCCAATAAAAAGCCAAACGTTTTAACTGGGGCTGGGAAAACGACGTTATTTTTTAAATCGGAAGAGTAAAGCTATCCTTCTCCCGCTAACTAGGAAGCCGTCGGACGGCACATTTCCCGATCGATTTAAAGTTTGTTCGGCTAGCTTCTGCCGTTCAGTTAACAAGATCACGTGACGGGTCAACTGCTGTTTCTATGGCCTATCTATTTACATTGAACGAATAGACTATCTTAAGACGGCAGATGCTACAATCTGGTGCAACTAATAAAAAATAATTGATGTACCTGATTGAAATCGCTAATCCTCGTCAAATCAGGCCCAGTTGATTGACGGCATCAAAACGAGTGTAAATGGCGTGGCTGTGTTTTATGCCTACATATGCGTCACTGCTCATGCGCCGTGTCGATAATGGCGAGGCTGCCTTAAAATGTTCGTCTTCAGTTTGAAACCGAAATTGTTGTCCGCAGTTACATTTGCAGTTAAGTAATAGTCATGCGAAACAAATTTTTTACTCTTTTCCAGGAGTGTTAGGTAGTTTAGGTAGTTCGCCTTGCCTTGTTCAAGCAAACTACCTTCCGTTTCTTTGAATTTCCTGCCAGATGTGCTCTAGTGAATAATCCACCCACCTATGTGACGATGTTATTTATAAAACATTCAACAGGCTTTTCAACTAAATGCTAAAAAACTTTGTAATCGAGCCTCCACATGCAGCTTTATCTTTCAAGCCAGCAACACGTTCTGAGAATTCTGAAATCTGACAGGTGTCCTACATATGATACTCTGTTAGTCATGCGATTTCGATATTATCAACTCGTCTTCAAATTAACTCAATGGTTTATTTGATAGGAACCACTACTCCTATGGTATTCTATCTTGTATATTCATACTTCATCCACAATCAGTTAAATGTTTGGGACACAAATCGAGCTTATGTACCTCAAATTCACAGCTTCATGCTGTGCTTTTGGTTCCGTAATAATGAGTCACAAGACACCCTGAATCTCAATGGGGATATCCTTCTGTCATTGAAGCCTGTCTATGCTCAAGCACTGTGGAAATGTCTTATTCTTGGTAAGAATCATCTGCAGTGTGCGCCTCACGAAACTCGGAGAGTTCCGAACCCGCAACATTCCGGCTAGTGCGTGAATACTTGACCGTTCTGTCACAAACGGCTGATCATCTATCTGGTCATCTGATTTGTAAGTTCATTTATATGGCACTCGGCATAGAGACTTCCGTACAGGCCTGTCTTTGGAAAAGGTAAATGGTCGGAGGGTCACTAAAAGGAGGACACTATCTGTTCCAATAACTGCACCAGTTCAGTTTTTTTTATTTGAGCAACAGCAATTCGTTATAATCTGGCCTCTATCCACAAATGGGACTTAACTCAACGCACAGTTTTTCAAGAAATCTTGCATGATTCTTGTCCCCAATTATCCGGATGCTAAAACACTTTTACTTAAGCGTAACTTAGCTCAGCTCTGTTTGTTGCAGCAACCCAAAACGTATGAAAATTCGTAAATTGTGCTGTGAGGACCAACGTAGTTGTATGTATAAATAGCGAAACGGACATCTCCTGACTCAGCGTTATTTTGCATCAAACAATCTGTTTACCAGTGCAATCTAACTCAATATAACCAACGTAGTTGTATGTATAAATAGCGAAGCGGACATCTGACTCAGCGTTATTTTGCATCAAACGATCCGTTTGCTAGTGCAATCTAACTCAATTTGTCTTACAGGTGGGGCGTGCAACAGGCGTTCAGTTTCCATCATTCCGGACTCATTCGCTTCCACAACTTCTCGTCTCCTGTCTATCCGTGAGTTTATAAAAAAATAGTATGTGTGAACGATAATTCCTGGTTAGAAAATTCATTCATGCCGTCTGCTCCATCAAAAGTCGTTTTTTTTATCTTACACAATTCATGTCGGGTTATTAGACGTGAACCGGTTGACAAAAACCGAGTGTTTTCACAACTGTTTTCTAGAACCGGTTGCAGCAAGCTAACAAAAATCGGTCACATGGCTCTGTCGTTGGATTCATCAAAAAATTTCAATGGATCCCCGATCACGGGGATGGAAGAACTAAGCAATGAGTTCGTTTACTTTAAACAGCGGTGGGTCCACAGTTTCCCAATGTCTACAAACGTAATCAAGCCGTGTGGGATTTTATTGGACCGAATATATTTTCACCGACAAAAAGAATGAGTTTAACTGACCAAAACAATTATCAGGTAGATTGATAATTTTAGTTAAAACCACCTAATGGATTCTGCGTAAGGCAGTTTCTTTTTTCATGCAAAGTTCTGTATATTTGCTACTCCCACAAAGTGAAGGCGAACTGCAAACTTTTTAGTCTAAGGGGCCCACGTGTCAGCAGAGAAATAGCAACATAAAATGGTTTTTTATTCATACGTTTATGAAAGTTTATGAAAACGGCTCACCATGAGGCTCTGGAACTGAGATTTTAATGATGACTGCTGCCCACGCGGTTGAGACAGCAAAAGTTAAACAAAAATCTGAAAATAAATTCCCAGATTCTAATCATCTAGTCACTTTTTCGCTTGAACAACCGGCTCTTCTTCTTGAATGAAATGAGCTAACTTTACTTGTTGAATTGGTGGTCGATAGTTCGCGAACAAAATACCCAGATTTTTATACCTTTTGTCCGAAAGTAAACAATAAAATTCCATTGCCTTTTGCATTACTCATACTTTTCACTCGGTTTTGCCAACACTGACATAAATGAAAAGCAATACACTCCTTGTCTAAATAAAAGAAATCAAATGGGTTAAAGTTCTTCTTGAAGCCTTCATCCTCACCTCTATCAAAGCCTCTCATTTAACTTTTTACCCTTAGAACACTCATACTCTAGGAAAATCTACTTCCTCGTAATAATGTAAGCACCGAAAACGGTAGTGAGCGTGTGTGCAAAAGTCGAACTGTAACGGATCGAATAACAAGTGAAGTGCCTTCAGGAATGTCGCGCAATTCATCACTTATCTGAAAATTTGGAATTCATATCCATACATGGTGTACAATTTGACATACACCTCTTACAACTATTAGAGAAATCCATCCTACCCTTCCAAGTTAAGCGATTATTTCGCCTAGCGTAGCTCTTTGTGTAATCTCTCCCAAAGTGTTAGAAATTCGAACCCATTGGTTGTCGCCTCCCATGTAATCATACTGGGGCATTGGACATCTTCCGAGCTTAGCATACCACCACAGAATATCAGGCTGCTCCACGCATTAGATTAGGTCCGCCTCCAGATGAGATTCCATGAGCGTCGTTCTATTCTGGCTGAAGTCTACGACCGAAGACATCAGCTCTTCTCCCCAAAGGTTAATCGGTTTCCCGCCAATTTATCGGGTTATTCGCACTATACAAACTGAAACAAATCCTCACCACAATCGTTAATGGGCACATGCGTCCGCGAAGTTTTTCATTCCGGTCCTGTGACTGGAATGATCAGCTGTGTATAAAGTTCAGAACTCCACCATCAAAACATCCGAGAAAATTGTTTTGTCTGACAACAATTGTTTTGTTGAATTCTCTGTATCAGGTGTTTGCCTCTAGTACATAAGTACACTTTCATAACACGTGATCGGATACACCTTACCATGCACGGTAGGATATTGCCTGCAGAGCGCAAGACCGTTCAGTACTTGTGGAATAACCTTTTACGTTTTTTAGTCTAAACAGTTGACCGCTGGCTCTAAGCATAAGGTCAAATGCTATATGAATCATACGGCTGGCGAAATATCTCAGTAAGCGCAGCACACAGGAGCAGTCAGATAAGCACCTTAGTTTCGGTAACGCGGTTGGCTAGCGACAAGTAAAAATTTCATCTTGCAACAAGACACTTTACTTATGGCCTACGATTTTTACATAATGGTTTACTGTAGGAAAACGGCTCCGCTAGCAAATTTGGCTCCCACGTGACAACTTCAAATTTATTTTTCACTGTGAGCCATACATAAAAAAATCAATATTTTGTCAGCAATCTTTATGTCAGGGTATAACAACTTCCGTTTTGTTTGGGGAGCAGATGTGGCAATATTTTATTCAGAGTAAGAAGGCTATTAGATTGCCGGAATTTGTATCCCTGGAAACCAGTTTTTTCTCTAGTTTTGGAGAATTAACATCTTTTTTGTCTAATCCGGTGGTGCTTTATGCATTTGAAGATTTTTAAAATCAACAAAGTATTTCTAGCTTCATGTTGGTCATGACGGGCACTGATTATCTGGTAAGATTATACTATGTACGGTAAAACGTATTAACTACTGAAATACTTCATTTATAACGTGCAGCATCACGTAGGCCTCCCCTTTATCGTTTCCTCGAAGGCCGCTAAGACGCCTGTTAGGGAAGTGTTCATCTGTCTTGTGACATTCACTCGCTTTTTCAGCTGGCGAAATACCTTGTCACACATATTTACGGGTGCAACTATTATCGAACTATTTTTCGTCACCAGCTGGCTTCCTGGAAAGAGGAAGAAAGCAGTGGGAAGTTTTAAACGCGTTGATCAATGTTCCTCTGAAACTCACTGTGGGGTAAACAGCTTAGATATGTACGATAACTTAAACATTATTTTCATTATACCATCTAAAGGGGACGGCGTCTGCGACCACTTCAAAAGTGTTAACGCACGTTTCAATGGACTGAAATGATTTCGCACATGTAATTCATTTTTTGCTGTGGCAGGTATCATATTTTGGGGCATGTTGCAAATCGCTTGCAAACAGACAATAATTGCGGTCAAGCGATTTACTAATAACCACAGATACGTTGCCTCCTGTCCTCTTTGTTTCTAGTCGGCAGGTTGGGCTAAGCTTGCATTCTGTCTTTCACATTAAATCGCATGATCACTTTGCTAATATAGCTTTCTGCACCACATGCTTGGTGCTGAATCGTGGCAAGTTTTCAGGAAACACACTGTCTACCTTTTTTCATTCTGCAGAAATTTCATCAAGGATCATATATTCGGAGTGGAAGATCCGTTGTATGCTGAAACGGTCCTCACAAACCAATACTTCCGCGCACAAAAGTTGACTGTATTCCATCCACCCCCAAACGATTGTAAGTTTTCTTTGAAACCTAGCTGTTATTGGTTTCTTGTTGACAGTCGATTAATTTGCACGCTTGTCTTCCACAAACAGCTAGACTTATGAACGTGGAGATTGAAATATCGACCGACAAACGTTCAAACCCAGGGGAATGGAAATATAATCAATAAAAACGAAGGGCGAATCTTCTCGTGCGTAAAGCTTCATCCACGAAATGTGGCTAGGTCTATCCAAATGCTTGAATAAAATGATTAGATAACGCTTGCCTCGACAAAAAGCGGGTTTAATGGGTGGAATTTCAAAATTGATTTTCAGCCTGCTAATTATCTGCTAATCAGTGTCTGCGAACGAGAGCACACGCAGCATATGCAATGCATAAAATGGAGTATTTTGCCTATTCATTGTCATGTTTCTTGGTTCACGTCTAAAATTTTCGTGCAAGTAGTTTTTCAAGCCACTCTCAGCCTTCAAAATCTCAGTGGTCACGTGTCCCACGTTCTAATCTTACCAGACCTCATGTTAAATGCTTTGCATGGCATTCAGTGTCTCGTTGACCACAGAATAAAAGACAACTACATCATACCCAAAATTGGCACAGTAGACAATACTAAAACAACTAAGTGGAACGAGAAACGTCGAAAGTAGGACAGCAATTGTAATCAAGAAATTCTGTCCTATAAAGTGCACCAACCTAGAACCTACGCACTGACTTTAGCGAAATTATCTTAAAATTCGCCCAGGCAACAAGTACTTTGCAACGTTCCATTTACAACTACCTAATCAAATGGAGTAGAAGTAAAACCTACTAAATCGTGGGGGGCATGACGAGTGATTTACAGCAGTGACCTGCCTGTGATTTTCCCACCACTAGTTTCTAACAAATGTAGGTCAATTGAAAGCCTTGGGCTCCATTTTTATTGGGCTCGTTAGGACTCCTGGTGATTTGATCAACTAGCTGTGCGTGATCGAGCGTGTTTTCATCCGCAATTTTTCCTGCGTCTTAAGCTAATATTGTGTAATACTGCCTATAAGTTGCCCGTTCCCTCGCATTTTAGGCAGATATCAGAATTGATGCAAAACAGAAACATTATTGGAGACAGCGAAATGCAAGAGATCCCGAGGCTAGAAATTCCGTTTGCTAACTTCTACCGCACAGGATGCCAATTAACAGGTTTTAGGGATTCAATTAGGACCGTTTTGCGGAATGGCAAACAAACTTTACCTGCGCGGGTAGAAAATCCTAGTTGTTTAGCTACTCACACCTTCAAGACAAAATTCGACAACGTAACAATGTTTGCAGAGGAGAACAAAAAAACGGGTTCTTCTCGTTGCATATTAGGCGTTTTTATGAAGAGTTTTGTTACTGGTGCTGATTTAGATTCGCTGACCTCGTCTTTGAAGTCATCGACAAAACACTGCTCGACACTAACTCTTCGCTTCCGTGCAACCATAGTTTACCAGAATGATGTATAGCGAAAAAAAAGAATAAAATTAAATGGAGAAGGGACTTATCGTGAGACTACACAATCCCTTCCGAGGGGCCTACATCTTCACACACTGTTTCAGACGCGTGGATGAAANGAAAAGTGAAAACAACAACTTCAAATGGAAGTCACATCTTGCAGCATCTTTAACCGTGGACATTATGAACAAGTGGATACCATCCTGAAATTAGAATCGCACCAACAAATCAAGCATTCCCGCAATCGCCTCCGCATTTCTCTCCCAGGCCAAAGGTCGGCCAACGCCCTTATTGCGCTACTCAATATCAGTTACAGAGTATCACACTCTTTTTGGTAAAAAAATACTTTGGCATCGGCGATACGGGACAACATCAGTGCACCTTTTATTGCTGGACATATTCTCAGATTTGTACAACCGAACACTGGTTTTCTAACTGTCTCGTCCTGGAAATACCGGAACCAGCCAGCACAAGTCATGATTGTTCGACAGCGGTTGTCGAAAACCTGAAATGGTTTAACTCCGGCGGATAGAAAGACATACGACCCTCGAGGTTTAGACATGTGCCGCCTTGCCGCCATAGGTGCTTCAAATATAGCAGATGTGAATTTGCGGGATCATACATTAACCCCGCTTGTCACAATGCAGTTCTTCGGATCAAAAAACACGTCGCTATGTTTTGTTGGTTAGACCTACAACCCTTAAACAGCTTGGTGTGAGAGGCTGTGTGAATGCCCTCCGGACACATTGAATATAGTTTATTAGAATGTCTACAAACCGTCACATCACGGTGAGGTCCATTCCCATTCTAACATACCACAGATTCAACAGGCTTCTTCAAGGTGCATTAAATATCTGCCCAGTGAATATGATACAAACAAATACGCAACACTGTCACTTTTTTTTAATTTCTCCTTTCGTAGTGTTTCGACATTTTTCAAGTCAAAATCTCGACGTTCCCATACCCATGACAATGACGGTGTACAATGAAATCCATCAGGTACCTATGGCCGTCGTCGGATTACAGATCACCCATCATAAGCTCCAAAAACAGTTTGACAAAATGACAAACACCTGTCTGACGGAAAACTGCAGACCTTGCGGAAATGAAGTTGACTGCTACCTAATCAATCAGGCTGCCCTGGTGTTAGCTTCCTCTGGTGGAGAAAAAGAGGTAAGTTCCGGTGCAAACGCTTGATTCACGTATGATCCCGGGGGATTAAACTTACAGATATGCTTTCAAAAGCGTACAGATGTTTCTGTACATAGCCATACTGCAGCAATTCAATACTTATCACATAAGGGAAGAAATTCTATATTCCTTGATATCTGCAGCCAGTCAATAAGGGACGGTTGGTCGACAGATGCATTAACGGCAAACCTGCTTACATACGTCTAATTGCTGGCGTATCTAGTGATGTTTTACGGTCAGTAAATTCACACCTGGCACACATAGTCAATCGGTTATCGGCAGTGGCTTGTAAATAAATGGTAAACATTTCGACGTCCAACAAACACTATTTCGTCCGAAGCTACAGCCTCAGAAAAGCTGTGCTCAAACGAGAAACGTTTTGAAGGCACTAGTGTACTGTGGATTGCAGTACAGACCTTCTAGGTTTAACATGAGATTTTATGAGTATAGTGAAGTTCGTATATCCTAAAAAGCCTCCAGGCCTTGCATAACTGTTTCTTATTTGTTCAGGATCACCAACACTGTACGTCTTCCAAAGCTCCTGGAAGATTGCTCCTGGTCAGCAATCGAACAGTGAACTGTTTGGCTGCAATTCTGTTATTGTCAGTTTTGTCTGAGAACAATTTCAAGAAGTAAAAATAGCTAATCAAATCCCTAACTACGTGCTGAAAGATCGCGTTGCTGATTCTACCTAAAAGATCCACCAACTTCAATAAAAGTATGACATTTTCATCCACAGGTGGTTTTAAACCAGTATACTTGATAGGACACTACTTGTGAGGTTGCTGAAAGCTCCTTGACAGTCCAAGACTGGTTTCACTGTCGATGGAGCTCATCATTGTCCATTTACTCTACTACACAAGGACTGAACAGATGGGCATAGATAAGCACACCCGGGTTACCAGTGGACAGAGTGCCCGATGATCTGTTTAATCGTAATGTGAACGGGAAAACTTACCTTCTGCTGCAGTCTTCACAAATCAAAGAACCACTTGATCTCCATCCTGATTTGCGCCAATTAATCACTTCAATGAATTCACTTCAGTTTACAACACGAAACAGACACGATTTATGAGCATTTTGCCAGATAAAAAATAGAGGAAAATAAAACATTTCGGAAGGTTAAAGTTGTAATCTCAGTTTCGGAACATTGATTAGTGACTTGAAAACTCCAAGTTCTTTTTATGCTTCTTTTTGAAAGAGACCAGATTCAGTTGATCACTCCAGATTTTCCAAATATCACCCACAGGATAGCTGTGGAATGCGTTGGTGGTACTCGATCAACTATGCTGAAATATTTGAGAGCACTCGCTCACTGGTTTGTTCACTGAAAAGCAGTGGTCATTGAGGTTATACTCTCGTTTCCTTCAAGCCAAACGTCCGCTCATAAAGCATTCACAGGAAAATTGATACTTCCGAGAATTCCCGTTAAGCACAAGAGCACTCATGGGTTAACAAGGCAAGGCCTTTCTCAGTCATACAGTCGCACAGTCTAAGACAGCAGTATTTAGGGCAACGTAGTGAGTACTGTGGATATCAAAGTAGAGGCCGAGTGATGGGATAAATTGCCTATATGGTCAGTTTAAGTCACCAGTAAGAAGTGTGTCAGCGCAAGCTGTGTTGTGGTGGTGTTCCGCACTGGATTTACGTGTGGGGTAAGTCCAACTTTCCGCTGCCCGGAGCCATGTAAACAAGTATCACCCCCAGGAGGCAAAGATAAGGAGACCGAGCGGTCACAGCCTGGTGTATGTGAATGACACAGGTAAAATAAACACCCAGATTTTCATAAAGGAAACTACTCACAAGGTTGCTGAAAACTCTTCGACAGCCCACAACCGGTTTTGCCCTTCTTGGGGCTCATCAGGTAGGCGCATTCCCTGAGTTTCTGTCGACCTTATGATCTACTTGAACCCAAATTGCACTGTTTTCGAGAACCACACTCATTTGCAAATCGGGTAGTTTCCTTTATGAATCTCGAATATCTCGAATATCGTGCCAACTGAATCATGAGGCGGCCTGTGTGCAGCACATTCAGTTGGAGGGCATGATAAAAGAGAGATTCAATTGAGTCTCCCGTGAAAACTAAATTGATTTGCAAATGAGTGTATTTCTCGAAAACACTTGGATTCTTATTCCGCGTTTACATTAACCCACCGTACGTGGATAATATAACAGCTGATCAACCGAAAAGATGACTTCACACCAGTAATGACAGAGGTTCACCCGCCATAACATTTGAAATCTGGGTGCGGTGCACCTCGCTTTATCAAGATGCTTTTACAGACATTACCAGATAGACCACGCAGAGGTGACTAGCATTCAAGTAGAAACTCTTCCGCTCAACCTCTTAGTACAATATTCGCCCAACATATCCAGATGCAGCGTTCTCCAGATCACCATTGGTGCGCTACTCAGAACCTGGACTAGAGGGAGGGGAAGCACAGAACCTGTAACCGAGCCTACTGCATGGTGAGCATTGCGGTCCGTCCTAGTGCTGAGACCTGCAGAGGGAGAGAGGGAGTATTCCGCTAGAGGTTGGATAGGATAAAAGCGGAAGCTGTGAAAGTGTAAGAACGGAGACGTCAGAAATTGCGTGTTTTCGTTTATCCGTCCTGTTGTGTGCGTCAAGTTTGGCGATGATGCATTACTGAGGCTAATTCTGCATGATAATACCCTTAGCTATGAGGTTCATGGTTGCATGCTGGCTAGTACACTTTCAGGGCACCCACGCCTGGACAGGAGGACAACTGAAGTCCTTAGCCACAGTTTTCGGCTCAAAAGCCTGGTCGCCATCCAGTGAGTGGTATGGAGTAATAGTGTAGTAGCTCCAGTTCCAACCCTCGGTTTGAAGGACCGGGAGATTGTGTCTAGATATGTCAAAGTGCAACCAACTTAGCATAGATCAATGGGTCTTAGAGATACACACAGTGCAACACTCCGATGAAGTCCAGTCTGTTTGCAATGGAATCCACTCTCTTTGTAGTGGCCGGTAGGTAAATTCTTCATCGTGCCCCTTACCCACCATCGGTAGGCAGGGTTGTCCGTTTTGTTGTTTCAAGCTGATGGCTTTGTTGAGGAAAGCTTTTGATATCTCAGCCCCTTTGTTCGGCCTTTGCATACTGATTTTGCGCCTACAGGCGAGTTGATCAGGCATCCGTCTCACATACAACTTATCCAAAGCATCGCACTAGGCAGGCTGAATTATTAGCTGAGTAGCCTATGGTCTTTGCATTCGGTATAAAACGACGGGTTTATATCCATGTTAAAGCAACATCCATGTATGGCCAGAATACACGAGTGTTCCCAGTACGCAGTATCCACATTCTTTTTCTACGACACATCTCTGGATACCTTCAAATCTAAAGGAAGAGCCTAAATAGCAATCTTTGAAGCGTATGATTTGTGTTCGTGTTGTGTGAATACTTAGAGAGTAAACATTCCTGTTTGACCATAGATATATATTACTTATTTGAAAACTCAAGCCAAATATTTCCCTATCTATCTCAAGCTGACTAGATAAAACTTTTATTGTCCATCAAATAACTTAAGTGTGTCAAGCCCCACAAGTTTGAAAATGAAATTGCTGCAAAAGGTTATGAAGTCGCACTTGACTCTTCCTTTTATACTGATTACTCGGACTCATATAGACTACCGGTGATGAAGCAAATCGTCAATTTCACCCTTGGAGGGTTACTTTGAAGATCGATAAGCCGGCCACAACAAAGCAGGAGGGTGGAATAAGTAGTCTCATATATTTTAACTATTCTTCAGGACACGCTAGATTTCCACGTTCAAAAACAATTGACTGAAAATACCTAATTGGTCAAACAATTTGATGAAAATCCATTTGACAGATGACACATTAATTTGTCCATCTGTTTGGAAAATTTTCGAATAAATGGCGTAGACACAACGTTTTTCCAATGTTTTGCCGTGGTATTCTGACTTTTCTTTCCAGTTTAGTGTTCATATACAAATAAAATACGTCTTTGGAAAGCTGTTATTGATACTTAACTGGGTATGATGGAGTAAACCGTCGTCACAAATCTGAGGCTTCAATCACTGTGTTCCGACCATATCTTCAGAAGCCAGTCAAACATATAGCTTAAGGCTCCTTTTCCAGGGGAGAGGATACCTAATTCCATTTAACTGTTGACATGGCGACGGGTAAACGTATCTTTTTGTCTCCGTCATGCTTACAAGAAAAATGCAGACAAATATAGCGTTTCTCCAACAGAAGAACCTTATTTAGATGGAAAAACTTTTAAACAGAGAACAGCTTTCTTCGATTCAAATCACTTTCGGAGAGTATACCCCGAAGGGACAAACATCCAACAGAGGTTAAATGAGGGGAAGACCAGTTTTAATCTTCAGAATTAGCCAGACATATCTCGCCATGAGTGTTTAGCAACATCAGAGTGGCTCTATTGTTTAACTGACCAACTGGACTTCTAGACAACCCTGGGATTTTGATAAGTTTTCCTTAGCAACGGTTGCTGTTTGCAAACTATACTGGCACATCAGTTTACATTGATGATTAATCAGCAGACGGTGAGTGTGATGCAAAATGATGGCTTCGATATGTTTGCCTATAATGTCTGCGATGGTTGCAATATTTTGCTGCCGAATGTAATATAGGCAAGCATGTTTATTGGAGGCCCATTTCTGTGGCACTTTCAAGCATCTATCGAAGAACAGATGAGATAAGCGGCATTTTATGGTGTCAGACCTAACGAGAAACGTCTAAAAATGTAAGCCGTTTTCTGATAGACAAAGTCCAAAGCACAAGAAAGCATTGGCAATAAGGAAGGCATACCGTAAGAAGACTCGGTCTGATTGAAATCAGTGGCAGCTAAAAAATGTGATTGTTTGCTCTGATAAAACCGTCTGGGAGGTTAAATAGGACCGGATAAATTTTAGTGAGGAGAATAGAACTGGCTTATAAGAAATGGAAAGGAACGAGCATGTAAAACAGTTGAAG